ATTTATAGTAGGGTTCGATCAATAGTATACAACCTTAGAGAAGATACCCGCCAATAATAATAGAACTCCTATAAACCAGCTTTTTCATTGTAATACAAATAATAGGACCTGATATACAAAGTCAAATTATTGCCCGAACTTCTACTCCCGCGAATAATTCTACAAAGGCTGATAGCCATCAAAACCTTCCATAGAGACTTCGGATAGTATCACAGGAAATTCAAATATACAGAAGATATGGAATGCTTCTGTGGAAGGCTCAAAACCCCAGTATACCTGGTTCACTGCTGGAAGGTAAAAGACACTTTCGAATAATAGCCGAACAAGCCCTCTACACCATCAGCAACAAATACAGAAGGTATTCACTACCTACACAAAATCCTGAATAACCCCAAGGAATTTGCCAAGCTTTTAAAGCTGACAAAGTTCTATGAAAACATATATCTAAGATAGAAAGCTGTAAGCCTGTATTATATGAATAAACAATCTAAACACTGTAACAATATACATTCACTATTAAAACCGACTTACAATATACAACACAAACAAAACTATCAACTTTCTTTACAGAGTATATATAAAGAAACAAAATTATTAATAGATATAAAAAACCTGATTGAATATTAATAAGATATGCGAAAGCATATCTGAGAACACTCCCTGGAGTATAACAAACACTCTAATTATTACACCAGAAGTAGCCCACTGAATCACTAAAGCTTATACAACAGCAGGCCTACAAAACGGGCACAATTGCCTATATCAGGCAAAACAGTAGGATCACCTCAATTGACAGAGGAGAGAATATATAAATTGGAAGGTAATACACGATTACCGGGAATGGCTATAAAGCTTTCATTTTTCTTGTTAAGGCACTTTTATTTCATATATTGTAAAACCATAGCTTAGAACATCTGCATACCCTTAGGGAGGTTTTGAGGGCAGCCATAAGCTGCTCTCCTGATGTAAAATACTACTACTACTACTACAAGGGAGGCTTGGGACCAAGGTATAGTTTTATGCAATTATCTGTGCCAGAGTGCCTTCCGGAACGACTCGAGATCATTTCGTATGCCAATGGGTTCGCCTTTCTTTACGATGGTTAGCGGTGCTCAACTTTCCGTTCTGTCCTGTTGCTGATCACCAACAGACATCATGGAAGGCATGGATTTCAGCGGGGTATGTTTTACACTCAAACGATAGTCTGAAGATATACTAATGAGATAAAGCCCGCGAAGGAAGATGATGAACTGCTCGACGTTTTTCGCAAAGACGCTTTGCAAGGTAATATAGGTGACGACACCAGAGCAGAGAAGATCATTCAGTCACAAATTCTTTCGGAAATGATGGCAATCGACCGAGAACGAGCAATGACGACTATGAAAGCCTGCTCGACATTCATCGAGCAATCAACGACCAGGGAAAGATCTGAGCCTTTCGAGACGCTCAAGGACTATCTACCATACAGAATTATTGATGCTGGCGAAATGTATGAGCTAGAGTATGCCCAGTTCATCAAACACTGCTGACGAACTAAAAGGATTTGGTATGGGACAGTTACGTTCGGAATGGCACTTTCAATACCCAGAGGAGAATTCAGCTTGTGTAGGCAGCTTGTGATGCCGGCATTTGCTGTTCTCAGCTTGACCAACGATCTCTATTCATGGAAAAAGAAAGAGAAGCAGCCGAGAAAGAGGGCCTGAATCATGTGGTAAATGCCATATGGGTCATTATGAGAGAACAATGTGTCACAGAAGAGCAGGCAAAGGACATATGCCGCGTGAAGATTAAGGAATATGTGGCTAATTACATTAGCATTGTTGAAGTAACGAAGGACAACCACGATATCTCACTTGATCTCAGGCTCTATGTGGAAGCTATTCTGTACAGTATGAGCGGAAACCTCGTCTGGAGCTTGTATTGCCCACGATATCACCCCGAAACTTCTTGTGGGGCATGACAACCGATCGTAGAATGATGTGGGCAACAGCCAGATGATTAAATTGCTTGGGGGCGTAAATTGATTGGAATATTAGGAACTAGGGGATCATAATGAAAGAAACAATGACAGTAGCTCTTACAAGGCTTCTCTCTGCATTTTCCAGCATATGCCGACTCGTGAGTTGAAGCATGGGTGATGTTGCAAGCAGGCCAGCCAGCCAAAGGCCAGAGCTTTCCAAAATAATTACAACCGAACCTGCCGTCAGGGGTACCACAGTAGTATCATCACCACCTTCCTTTCGCGAAACCCAACCTATGGCGGCTCTTTACAACCGCATCAAAAGTATTGAGAGGTAATATTGAAGAGGCTGTGGATGGCATTGAAGTTGTCATTTGTTGGTGGCGTTTAGAATCTTCTTGGGCTATTGGTAGAGGTGGGGCATAACAGAGAAAATTTCCTGTACTGTAGGTTAATCCCACCAATCGCACAAATGAAATGTGTGATCCGGATGCAGAACTTTCTACACCAGGTAATCTCCTCCGCCTATTCAAGTGAGCTTCAACAAATGTACTGTAATGAATTTATTGAACGAGAAGGCACTTGTCAGGAAGACTGCGGAAAATCCCGCTATCGCATGTGCTCGATATGCCTGTAGCACACCTCCGACAACGGCTGCATGTCTATTGCTTTGTCCAATGCTTCCCATTAGACGATCATCTCAATTCCTGTTCTCAATCGTCTAGCTTGACTTGAGTCATTAACAGCTGAAGATAATCTATACTTAGGTGCCAGTGTAACCTCAGCCCTCCATCATGCCAGCATCGCCCGTAGTCGCAATGGACGGCTAAAGTTCTCGAAGATCACCGATGCTGAGGCCTCACTGCGACGGTGTGGTAGGCAGAAATACACTACGCTTGTAGTCCTTGAGCTTTCGAATGCTCTCTATTACTCTCCTGCTGTTCCTATGCGGCGCGGACTTGTTTACCTGGCTTTGAAGAAGTCTTCGTTCCATATCTTTCCTTAATTTCTCTACAGACACAATGATAATAATCGTCTAATTCTGTTATTTTGTGTTTCTCATTATACATTCTGCTCAACTCATGACATTAAATAAAATGGCCAGTGCCGTAGATCTATGGACAGTCGGGGCCCTCCCACCCCCTCCGGGCCAAACTTCGAATTTTTTCGACCCTCCGACTCAAACAAGTTCTACCATCGCTTTACATACCGTGATTTTAACCGTGGTTACTCTGTGTATAGCCATGCGGCTTTATACTCGCAGAGTCATTAATCACGAGGTCGGCTTGGATGATTGTGAGTTCTCTTCAACCTTCTCCGCAATATATGATATGGCGAGCCAATGTACTAACTTGAATGGTTTTGCAGACTGCTGCATAATTGCCTACGTTTGCTTTTTACTTTTCAAAAGGCTGTCCTTCTAATTCGTTAACCTCATCATTAGTTCTTGACCATCGCCTTTTCAACGTTATTGATTATAGGTATGACACTTATGGGTCGTTGATATAGTGGTAGAGAATTCGTTCTAATCATGATAAAATCATAGCTGATGCACGGGGACTTGGTCACCATTTGTGGGATGTACCAGCGGCTCAACTCCCAGAGGCTCTCGAAGTATTGATCTCGTACCTAGGTCTGAAATCAAGCTTCTAACTTTTCCAACAGGCCCTTACGATAGCAGAATTCATCTACTTGGCATTGGCAGGCATAATAAAAATATCTTGTTTGCTGTTCTACCGACGAGTCTTCTCCCCAAATAAAGCAACATTATCTTGTATCTACGGAGGAATGGGGGTTATCGCTGTTAGCTACACGGCAATGCTTTTCAGTACTATATTCGAATGTACTCCTGTGCGAAAGTCTTGGAACGCGCTTACTCCTGGTCACTGCTACCCACCCGAAATCCTCCCTTATTTTTCTGGTGGCCTCAACGTTATTACGGATCTTTACGTGCTGGTTGTTTCGATCCTAACTTTGTGGCATCTGAATCTCAAAATGGCACGGAAAGTTCGAGTGATGGCCATATTCGCTCTTAGAATATTGTATGTCATATCCTGCATCAAATTGCAATACTAACGTTTACAGTGTTTGTGCTACGAGCATCATTCGCCTCGCCATGACTTCCTAGATTTACAGCGACACTGACGCTACATGGAATCTTTCCAACATTGGAAAATGGTCGTAAGTAGTACACACACAAACCCGACACTATAGTATAGCTATCAATCTAATCCACCTTTTAGTGTCATCGAAGTCAATACGGGCATCGTATGCTCGTGTCTCTTGGCACTTCCTGCCTTTCTGCGACGTCACTGGCCCGAATCTCTCGGCACCTCCATCGCTAGACTCATCTCGTATCCTTTCGTTACTTCGCGAGGTGTCAATTCGGGTGCATACAGTGGTAACAAGGACTATAAAGGTTTTTCTTTGCGCAGGGAAAGAGATCTGAAAGTGATGCTCAAGTCGACAGAGACTACCTTAAGCTGCGTGCAAAAAATAGCTCCAACGAGTTGAATTCTATCATCATGCAAGAAAACTTAAACCAGGCAAATGACGATTCAGAAGTCTGGCCAATGCACAAACCTCTGATTGCCAGAGAATCTGTGTAGGGGTAAGGCACCGGAGCATCTATGCGCATTACCTAGCCTAGCCTATCAACAGGGAAATATATCACGGTTACCGACAGCTAGATTAGCAAGATATACAAGTCTTCGTTACGTATTATATCAAATTTTGCGCTACCACTGTACAACTTGTATAGCTTTGTTTCATATACAGATTTCCTACTCCAAGTCCGTGATTAGCTGTGATTTTTTTATCAATCATGATTGCGTTTTAGATTCGTGAACGCGGCCCATAGTTACGACCGCGCGGTAAGGTTATTAGTATCCATGTGATAATCCCTGAACGCACATGGCAGGGGGCGTTTCTGGATGCAACATTGAGTTTAGCTTATACCTGCAACAATATAAAACTAGCATCACCCTCGAAGAATTTCAAGTATAACACCCCATCATTTCTAACAAAATCAACATTCATCATGGGGTCCGCACTCAACCAAATGTTTCCTCCTTCTCCCACTTTCACGGATAAAACTTTGCATAATCAAGCTGGAAAGGTTTTTATCATTACTGGTGGAAGTTCGGGAGTTGGTCGGGAGCTCGCTGAGATTCTTTTTCGAGCAGGGGGCAAGGTCTACATAGCCGCACGATCGGAAGTTAACGCCAAGAAGACAATCGATGATATCAAATCTTCGTCTATTTCGTCAAATGTGGGAGAGCTAGAATTTCTACACCTTGAACTCGATGATTTAAGCACAATCAAAGCATCGACTGACGCTTTCATGAAGAAGGAATCAAAGCTCGACGTTTTGTGGAACAATGCTGCTGTATCACTGCCTCCACTTGGAAGTGTTTCAAGGCAGGGCTACGAGCTTATGATGGCCACCAACTGTCTGGGTCCTCTACTCTTCACGCAGCTTCTTCTTCCATCCTTGAAAGCCACTGCGGAAGTCACCAGCCCCGGAGCTGTTCGTATTGTTTGGACCAGCTCTCAGTATGTGGATCTTCAATCTCCAGAGGGTGGGCTGATAATGTCAGAGGTGACAACTCCAACAAAAGACAAGGCAAAAAACTACGGCACATCAAAACTAGGCAATTGGTTTTTGGGCAGCGAAATGGCGCGGGAGGTCGGTCAGTATGGTATTGTCAGCATAACGCAAAATCCAGGCAACGTAAAGACAAACTTGATGAGGCATGCGAAGTGGATGTACTATGCTGCTTATCCACTCCTGCACAAGGCAAAGATGGGTGCGCTTACAGAGCTTTTTGCTGGGCTGTCTCTGGATATTTCGATGGAGCAGAATGGAGGGTATGTGATTCCTTGGGGGCGGATTCATGAAACCCCTCGCAAAGATCTGTTCGTATCATTGAAAACTGTGGACGAAGGTGGTAATGGGAGGGCCAAGGAATTCTGGGATTGGTGTGAAGAACAAATTGCGAAATACAAGTAACCGCTACGTGCATGTAGGATAGTTGAGGCTATCACGCGCATGTCGCTGGGGTGCTTTCTGGAGTCGCTTGTTGGATTTCTGATTTCCTTCAGCAAATTAATACTTAATACCTACCTTGTTTTGGTAGTCAAATGAGATCTTTAGTTATTTTAAGTTGCATGAAGTAACCTTGTTGTTTTTGTTGCAAAACTGGCTCACGATATCGACTTTCATGACCCCCGCCCCCCACTCTCTCGTCTCCCCACACACAATGTACGCATTGCAATCAATGTACACCAACGCGGCTTACTTGATCCGTAGTTCAAGACATGCATATTATCGTCAGACGCAGCGTTACAAGCGGCAACCGGAGTCTTTCCCGGATCTTTTTCCGTGCTGATACTTGCGCGCCGCAAAGGTACATGAGATAATATCGGCATAGCCCATAATTTATCACACCAGTTGCTAGCAAACGTAACTTCACAATCTCCACTGACAAACTAATTTACTGCCATGTGGGGTCTTCTCCCTTCCCCCCTCTCTCCTCTCCCCTCTCCCCTCTCCCTTTCTCTCCCTCTCCGGACTCTGGACTTACTTTGATGTCATCGTTTCTGTTGAACGTTTTCTTGTTTTGTGACTGAGATTCATGCTCATATACTTGTCGAGGGTCAAAGATGTTTAAAAGTGAAGGTATCAGTCTAAATCTGACCTCGGATCTTGTGGCAGCCTTGTTGACTGCAACCGTTGTAAGATACCCGATTCTCTTCTTCCTATGTCGTTAATCACGACCAGCAGATTCTGACTAGTTAAAAGTACTTTTCATATAATGCAATCTACAACCTTTACCTCCATCCCCTCTCTCACTTTCCTGGACCTGGTACCTGGTCCGCCTCACGGTTACCCTTTGCTAAGGCACTAATCGCTGGCACTATTGTTCACGATGTCGAAAGAATTCACCGTGAATATGGACCTGTTGTGCGAATGGCTCCAAATGAAATTTCATTCGCTCACAGCCAAGCATGGACAGACATATTTACCGTCAGACCTGGCCATTTACCATTCCCAAAAGATCCTGTCTGGTGGACAAGGCAGCCCGGGCATCCAGAGTCACTCCTTAGCGCGGGTCCAGAGGACCACGCTCGCATGCGCAAACTTCTTCATCACGGCTTCACGCCGCGTGCGTTGAAAATGCAGGAACCGATTTTGCACAAGTATGTGGGTCTGTTAATTGAACGCATGGGGGAGCGAGCACAGGAGACATCAAATGGAGGCATCTTAGATATTGTTCCCTGGTTCAACTACACAACATTTGACATATTTGGAGATCTTGGCTTTGGAGAATCATTTGACTGCTTGCAACATTCTCGCTACCATCCATGGATTGCTTTACTATTCAACAGTGTCAAAGCGGCTGGATTCGTCATTGCTGCCAGATTCTATCCATGGGTAGAGATTTTGCTTATGATGCTCATTCCCAAATCACTCAAGAAGATGCAGAACGATTATTTTCAACAAATTAAGGACAAGGTAAATAGACGTCTCAATTGGGAGCTTGAGAGGCCCGACCTCATGTCTCACGTCATCAAGCATAACGGTACCGACAAAGAATCAAAGGGCATGACGTTGGAGGAGATCCAGGTGACTTTTATGATCCTCACCACCGCGGGAAGCGAGACAACAGCAACTGTCTTAAGTGGTACTATAAACTATCTCATGTCACACACTGATATACTTGCCAAACTCGTCAAAGAGATACGGGAAACCTTTTCAAGTGAAACACAGATTACCTTGGAAGCTCTGGAACAGCTCGAGTACCTCAATGCCGTGATACAGGAGGGCATAAGGCTGTGCCCGCCTATTCCTGTTATGTTACCACGAGTAGTGCCGGAAGGTGGGGACACAGTATGTGACATGTGGATGCCTGCAGGTGTAAGTGTCATTTCTCCTTCGCTCATAAACACAGGGGCTGTGGTCTCTAATTTCCTCGAAACCACTTATCAAACATCATACTGCAGCTAATCCTCTTAAATAGACAAGCGTGTCTTTACAATCTTGGACACTCTTCCGCGATCCAAAATGCTTTCATAATGCCACTTCTTTTATCCCTGAGAGATGGCTGCCCGAAGCAACGCAGCCAGATTCGCTATATGCCAACGATCAAAGACAAGGAGTCCAAGCATTCAGTGCCGGGCCAAGAGTATGTATGGGAAAGCATCTGGCTTGGGCAGAATTGCGCTTAATCATTGCACGATTGCTCTGGGCTTTTGATTTGGAGGCAGCAGGGCAAGTATTGCGTTGGGATCAGTTGAGGACTTTCTTGCTCGTGGAAAAGAAGCCACTTGAAATTAGAATACGAGTGAGGAGAGATTTTTAAGTATTTCTTTTCGCGAGACGTTTTCGAATTTGGAAGAATGGGTTGAACTACCAGTATGTATTTGCAGAGCGTTATGGTATTCAAGTGACACGATAAAGCCTATTGTACATATGAATTCAAGCTGCATGTCAGGCCCCACAAATGCGGGGTAGGGCGTCAACTTGTCAACTTAACCTTCCAAATCTCATAATCGCGAGGCCTCATATGATTCTCAAGAGGAAGCCACTTTCTCCATACCAAACCAAATTCCCAAATGCATAGCTATTTTGGACATTGCACCGAAATACTTTGTAGTCGCATCTAGCGCTGCGTCAAAAGTGGAGTTACAGGCCACTAGATTCAATGCTCATGATCGTGACATGCCGACAGATATCACTACAGGTCATCTCACTCATGACGATCGATCGTAAGATTTGAGTACCTTGGAACGAAGACGATACCATCAACTTACACCCTGTAGATCAATCATTGAATCTCTACCAACACCATCAGCTATCACATCACTGCACGCTTCAGCAACACGGATCGTAACCGAAACGAGTGATGGGCATGTGAGAACATATGACATCTTTAGTAAGGAAGATTCTTTTGCTCTTCAAATAATTCATAAACATATATACAGCTAATTTGCTTTAAGTATGATAACTAAAGTTTAATACCGGTATCCCATAGTATCCAGCGCGTATATCTCGGCCATGGATTAAAAATGTCCTGCGTGACTAGACTTTGCATTACAGCGCAACATGCTCGCCACATCTCATCTTCCGTGTGTTTAGAACGTATCCGATATTTCAAATGTAAAGTCTTCTCCACTTTACTATCCCAGTGTCAATTGAAGGATCTGAGAAGTTACCATTTTCCATATCTCCCTCCGTTCAGTGCTATGCTTCACAATCCTGATTCCCGTAACCGCATCAAAATATGCCCCGCAATTTAGCCCCTAGATTTTTGATATATACCCGTACTAGTGCATAAACGTTATGCGATCAACAATCTGTCATGTACAGGTGTCCAAGTGATGCTATAAGACTCATGGACATAATATTCATCAACTATTACTGTTGTTAGCTGATTAGAACAAGGGTGAGGAACCCGATTCAAGTCATAACGATGAGGTGAAAATTTGCCAAGAACTGACGGTACATTCTGAAAAACTGGCTGAACTCGTAACGTCCAATCGTGTAATACTATACTCTGTCTAAAATGTTTCTGACTATGGTCTTATCATGAGTGAATATTCAAGTAGCATTGAAACAGGCTCGAAAATGCACTATAAGTATCAGCAGAGTCAGACGATATAATCAAGAGATGACATTTTCTTTCTGCCAGAGGTTAGACATACACCGTCTCATTGGTATATATACACAGTATATATGGAATCTATTTTAGACGATTAAACCAAAAATCAGACCGATTCGGCCGAGAAGGTTGAAAAGGATAAAAACGAAGTTCTCCAGATTATCTTGAAGGTGAGTGTTGGTAGATGAACTCTTCCTCGCAATAATAAGGTTCTAAAATCAGTCAAGAGAGACCTTAGCTCTACTCGGTTGATCAAGAGTGTACATGATGTTGAAGAGATGTTGGTGCCTATCTCGGCTACAATCGACGATATTGCCGCCTGTGTCCCAACCGTAATCGGCCAGAAATATTTAACGAGTCGACTAGTCTTATACCACGCAATCGAAAGTTTTGAATAGCCCAGCTACTCCTCCAAAACTTGTGACCCGCGAATCTATACTTGAGATTGCACCTGTTATCGCCCACCTGGCTGGCCTCATAACACTGTCGTTTGAACATTTGATACTCCCATTCCATCCTATCCACCAATTCAGGAGAGGAAGGAATGACAATGGGAGTTTTCAAACGCTGCTGTTTCCCCTTCTTTAGTGTAACTTTTCGAGCCTTGGTAGCGTAGACAAGGACACCTCAGGTAGGCCTTTAGGTCATCCGTTGTATATGTTCCTTGGAATTTTTGAGTGCGTGACGAACCTTACCACAATATCGGTCAATGATTTTGCGAGATGGGAGTCGAAAAGTATGGTTGAAGTTAGCGATGTCTCTTCCCAGCTCCTCGTATAACTTATCCATGCTCCTCAAACCACCTCCCCCGAATTGATGATTTTCGGAGATTTCATCATTGATCAAATCTTGAGTAGTAAGTTTTATTATGTATCTGACAGTGCTAAGATGAGATTGATTTTTTGGCTCGATTCAATATGAATATTAGAAGCTGGTCCAGTCACGGTTGTGCTGTGAATCAGACCAGATTGATCATGACATATTCTCACTACGGGCAAGGTTTTTGCCTGGAGATAGTTTTCAATTACTACTGCGTCCATCATACATTCGGATACCGATCATCCATATCGGAGAACTGTAGATTGGTTGTGCTGCGATTGCATCTTTCGAACACTGAACATATTCATGATGCAATAGGGCTTTTAAGGCATGACGATGACCGCTTGTCTGGTAATGGAAATTATCACTCGAAATCAATGCCATTAACAAAATGAGTATGAAACTGCGTCGTTCACTTTCCGTCCATAAGTGTAATAACACATCCACACTTCCGACAGACAATCACAAGTAAAACGAATCGGCAAGTGAAGCCCAAGTAGGAGCGACAGATCCCGCAATACTGTTGCGAGGACTACGAGAAACAGCTGAGGCATTACCACAGGTGCACTGAGTTCTGGAGTTTTGGCTTCAGTTTCTTCTGTCTGACCAATTTTCAGACGATCCGGGAAACTTTATGCTCCAAGTTCAAGTCTTGGCTAGAATATAAAACATCGATTCGACCCCGCATCTGTACATCATCAAATTATTCAAGAGATGTCCTTTATTGATTCAAATTCAACTCGATTCTGACTTCGTCATTTTCATTGCCGCGTGATGCCATTGTATGATGTAAATTTACCGATAAGTGAGTGCAGGCTCACCGTAAGGCTCTACCTTATTTCTGCCGAAATCACTTAGTGAACTGTTGCTCATCAGCCAGATATCAGTTGGAAGTTGAAGAAGATAATTACAATGTTCATAAGTCATTATAAAGAGTTCTCCGAGTCAAACGTCATGACCAAGACAAGACATCAGGATCTTTCATGGGACTGTATCTAGATAGTATCTACAAATGGACTTTTGGAAATAGGAGATTCTTTTCATTACCTTTACCTTTCCAGAAAGAATCGAGGTGAGAGAAATTTTGGGAAGAAGGAAAGTGGTAAAGGACAGAGAATAAGTCTGAAGTGAACGGAAATACTTTCCGAGTTTGGCATGGTACCTCTCACATATTTCAAAACAAAGTGACAGAAGCTAGAGCCTGAGATAAAGCCTTGAACATTTAAGTATACAATAATGATAGCAATAGTAAAACGTTGATAGAGATACCTAGGCCTTTGATTACTAGACATACAATTCGATGTTTCATGCTATAGTATACCATAGTTGATTGTTGGAGAATTAGGCAGACTTCTTTAGATGATAATCTTTACTACTTGGAGAAAGAGAGTTAGAATCCCAAGACTCTTGTCTATAGATAGAACTGTCTCTCATGTCATGGTTGCATTATATCAAATTGGGTATGTGTTCTAACGGGATGAGATAGATCAGAAGAGATGGCTCATACCAAAGTCCTCAATCTATCAAAGCATTTGTGGCGATTGTGATTTCAAGTTTCCAGCCAAATAGTCTGACTAGATTAGAATTCCAAACTATGGATCTGTACTTCAATAATTAGAGCTATCGTCTTAGGATGTCATTAGATACTATAAAGTATCTTTGGAAATGCATTATTTTAAGTTATATCATCAGTAAATCAAGAGAACATAAGCAAGATCATAGACATAGAGTATCCGGAGTATCCGGCGTGCTCTTAGACGCTTGACATATTTGAATACCAGTATTTGTACTGACTATCACTGACAATCACTAACACACGATACCCTATTAAACACTTGAAATATCTAAGAACATCCAAACCAGACCATAGCTTTTGATACTTCTTACTGTATATATGATCCGAGCTAAAGTCCCAGGAAGATACAAGATAGCACAAGATATATCCAACAATGCATAATCTTGATCTAAACATCTAATATAGCAAGGTGTTTTAAGCCGGATCAGATATACAGAAGATATAATTTGGTCTTAAACACTTGACATATTTGAACAATCAAGACTGATAGAGAAATGTTTCGTCTTTAGTTCCTTTATGAACAATCAAAGGCTGCCGTCAAAAGCTGGAAAATTGTTTTTAAATTCCATAATTTCAATCTAATACAAGTTACTTCCAGACTCTTTAAGATGAAATGAATGTCCCAAATATACAGCAATGTTCAAGACACTTGCCATTGTAGAATCATATATACCAGACTGTCACCTTCCAACCCTTTGGCTATGCTTGAACAGCTAGTACTAACATCCCAAACTCTTATCGAAAGGTAAAGAGTTCTCTCCAGATTATATAGTATTAAACCACATAGATTTAGCTCTCCAAAACAATAAACCAGATAACAAGTATAATATCTGTAGCCCCAAACTGAACCTTCACCTTCACACAAGACAAGATTCACACAAGACAAGCCTCACTCATCAGCCTATGGGAAATCATCCACTAGGAGATTCAGGCATTGATGGCCTCAGGATGTAACAAATTCACTTAAGAAAATCTTTGGCTGGATAAAATGACCCCCGCAACAATCTTGAATTTCTTCTTATTCCCATCAACAATCAACAACAACAATATCAGCAACATTTGCTGTTCTTCCCTTGTTTTTAGTTGTTCTTCTCATCCTTGGCTTTCATTTTCGCCTTAGGCGATAGTTTTTCTGAGTTTGAGTTCTGCCATCTCACCGAACTTCTGCCATCTTCGCTTCTGTGACCGCTCGATCAACATGGATAGCTCTCCTGGCAGAAGCGCGTCCCATCCACCCTCCCCCTCCCCATCCTTTGTAATTGCTTTCCCAACCCTCGAAGTACTCCCTGCCCCTCCAACAATTGATCTACCAAGTAGATCAAGACGTCGATCTAACGCGCTTCTTGGAAGCACCAATCCTCCTCAAACAGAGGGTTTTACAACACCAGCGCGCCGCGATTCAATTGATTCAATTCGATCAACGACATCTGCTTCCAGCGGATATAACGCTGAAATCGAGCGTCTTCGTGCAGAGGTTGCCCAACACGATCAAGAAGTTGAGGAATCCGCCATTGGTCTTGGTATTACCAGAGGATCAACTGCCACCACAGGTGAAAGTGAGACATTCAATTACCGTGGTGTCCAGAGCGCAAGACAATGTAAGTTTAGATCGACTCAATTGGCTTTCATGGCATGCTAATAATTATCTTCAAGCTTTTGCTCTGCCATCAAGACGCGAGCCATTACCAGTCGCCGAACGACCACCAGCTAGTGTAAGAGATCGCCGCAGATCCCAACACTCTCGATCTTCTTCCGTCGCCTCTCTCCCTTCTACAGAAGATTTGAGAGTCTTTTCAGAGCCCGACGTCTACTCGACCCTCCCTCCTCTTACACGACAACAACAGAAAGCTCGCAGACCAAGTGCGCAAGAGGCTTTTCAAAACCTCCCCCAACTCACTTCTGCTACATACATTCCTCCTCAACTCACCTCCGCTACATATATTCCTCCTCAACTCACCTCCGCTACATACGTACCACCTCAACTTACAAACGCTACATACGTCCCACCTCAAGCACGTAAGATGAATTATCAAGGCTTTGGTGATCCTAATCAGCCCGGTCAGCCATCCAATCCTCGACAAGCTCCGCCATCGCCAGGTCAAGGTATGGCTCATACAAATGGAATGAACGGTCAGATGAACATGGCTAGCATGGCTAACATGATTGGCTTTCCGACTCCTGCTGGACACCAATCTGACCTGAACTATATTATGATCATGGTCGAGGAGTTGAGTCGCCTTTTGGCGGCCAACCAGAAGATTACTGATAGTATTCTTGAGAAGATCGGAAATGTTCGTCAACGTGCAAAAGACAAGAACCTGAGCAACGATGAACTTCTCGCAATTGTCTCTGAGGAATTGAATGGTAAGTCAAGTTCATACCTTGGTTGAAGCATAGCTAACAACTAAATAGCGGGTTCTGAGAATCTCGAGAACGAGAACTCCCAATTGCGCCGAGCCATCGAACAATCTAAGGCTGATGCCGATGAGAATTGGAAGTTGGTTCTTCACGCTGCTGGTATCCTCGAGGATATCAAGGAAAAGGCCCATAACTACAAATTCCAACATGAAAAGGATACTCTCGCCTGGCACAAGAGCTACCGTGATCAACTTGCTCAAGAGCGCAAAGAGAATCTTGAACTCCGTTGCCACATTGCCGATATGCAAGCTCATGCTGCAAAGGCCAATGACTATATCAATCAGCTTCGCCGTTACGCTTCTGAGCACAAGATCATCACTGAGCTCACTACACAAGTTCATCAGTACAAGTCTGAGCGTCGTTTCTGGAAGCGTATGGCTTGCGTTGGTCTCCGCGAAGATCCTAGCGAATGGTCTGATGATGAAGGTGGTGCTACCGGCGATATCCCTGAGGCTGAGAAGATTGCTTGTGCCTCATACATTGCTGAACGAGAAGAAATGGCTCGAATCATTCTCGGCAAGAATGATGAAGATTCCTCTTAAATCTCTTCTCCTTTTACATACACCCTTACGATGATACGGCGTTATGATGATTGAATTTTACGGTACACAACTCTTTCTCACGAAAATCGGCGTTTTAACTTGCGAATGGATATACCCGTTATGGAAATGATTTCTTTTACTGAGCGATATCATCTGCATCTGCATAGCATGGATGGATATGAATAAAGCAACTTGTTTGATGAAATTCTTGTACGATTATAACACTTCATACTGGGAATGAGCTAGCGATTGTGCGCTGAGCATGGAATTTCGATTTTTTTTTTCTTTGGCTGGAAGAAAACGATGGATTGATTACTTTTAGCATAGACTCACGATATCACATCACGCTCTCTACTCTTTTCTAAAAGGTTGAGATCATCTTTCTTTCTTCGTTTAGAGGAAATGTAAAAGGTGCAGAGATGTTGATGGGTTGACTCGATCCTTTCCCTAGGATTCATTTCTTCTTTCTTTCGATTTGATTAGGTGGAAAGATTGAAAGATGATAGTATGATATCAAGAATAGGATTGGGATTGTAGTCTTTGGGCTTGTTAGCTTGTTGGGGGAAAGGGGTAGTTGATTAGTGGTTTACATACAGTGAGATACGATCCGTACATAAAATGGAATGAATGAAATGTGCTTTCTTTCGAGAGTGTATTATCTAAATTTACATATTGAATCTTCTTTTGTGTGATCTCTTAGTAATGTGATTTATTATACGGTATTTTTCCTTCAAGCTTCCTTTCGTTTCTTTACAATTAACTTCCCATTCTACTCGTATTGCTCGAGTATATCATATCGCATTACTCGATCGATACAGTATAGTAAAATCACTCACGTGCTAGCTGGCATCAAAAATCAAAGCTCTATTTCAAATTCACTCTATCTAAGCTTACGAAATCGATAATCGGTATTAATATCAACTGGAATACAGATATTAAAAATTAAAAACCAAAAACCAATACTTGATAGAGCCTGAGCTGAGTATGTATTAAAACTACTACTATTACTACTACTTGCTATTCATGGATTCATGGATTCGGAGGGTCTATACTAGTACTCGAGTACCGGTAGTATAGTTTATAGGGGTAGTATAGTATAGTATAATTAGTTGGTATTTTCTCTTATTATTTCTTGTTCTCTCACATTTTTCTGCTCCTTTTCTTTCTCTTCACCCTCTTTTATTCCTATTGTTAGAAAAGGGTTGCTGAGTCAGCTATGGCGCTAGGGCCTATGCTAGGGATAACCTCACTTCTACAGCTCTCCATAGTTTCACCACCCTTAGTTGTACAACACCACCTTCAATATTATCATACAAGTTGATTACCACACTTCCACTTCTAACACCTATATATCTCCTTTACTCTCTCTTTTCCTTTTATCTCCCCTCTCTCCCTTTTTCCCCACTTCCTACCTCTACCCCCTTGATCCTCTCTGCTATCATACATTCATCTTTCTATTCATCTATTTATCCATCCCCTCACCTCACCTATTCAACCTTTCCCTTACCCTCACTACCTCTACCATCTTAACCCTCTCTACCACCCATCCATTTATATCATATCCTCTATCTCCTCTATCCCCTCTACTGTATTCTCTCTCGATTCTTTTTTTCTCTCCCCCACCTCCTCTCCTTAACCTATCCACCCCTTTATTATCTATCCATCCATCCATTTATCCATTTATCAATTTGATCTATTCATCTTCCTCTCTTACATCATCTATCCATCCATTCATCCATCCATCTATTCATCAATTTGATCCATCCATCTCCCCCTCTCACATCATCCAGCCATCTCAAACAATTCATCCCTTTTCTATCTCTTCTCTCTTCTCTCCTCTCTCCCTCTCTCCTCTTCATCTCTCTCCTCCTTTCTCCTCTCTCCCCCTTCCTACCTCCCACCCCTTGATTCTTTTACCTTAACCCTCCATCTATCAACCCATCAACCCATCCATCCACCCCTTCCCTTCAAATGATCTTCTCATTATTTTCATTATTCTCACTATTCTCACTTATCTCCATCATACTCATTTACTCACACACTCACTCACTCTCTTCCCCTCCTTTTCTTTTCTCCATTTCACCACCTTCACTCACAGTTACTCATTCTTTCATTTATTCATTCTTTTCATTTTATTTATTTTTTCCCCTCTCTCCTCTCCCCTCTCTTCCCCCCTCTCTTCCCCCTCCCTTTCTCTCACCTCTCCTTCTTCTTCTTCTTCCCTCCTCCTCTCACCTCTCTCTCCTCCTACTCAATCACTCCCTCACTCCCTCACTCCCTCACTCCCTCGCTCACCCCCCCTCCCCTCCATATACTCTTTCCTCTTCCTCTCACCCTCTCTTCCTCTCCCCTCTTTGTTTCCCCTCTCACCTCTATTTCTTCTCTCTTCTCTTCTTTCCCTCTTATCCCCCCTTTTCCTCTCAACTCTCACCTCTTCTTTTCCTTCCCTCCCCCTCCCTCCAACCCCCCAAAAAACTCAAAATTATACTCTAGTAAACCTACTCCATCCATCCATCCCAACATCCCATAAAACTACTCGAGTAGGATTATCGTAGAAATACTAGCATAAGCACCAACACCAACACCAACACCAACACCAACACCAACACCAGCACCAACACAATACAAACACCAGCTCCATCTCCATTTCCATCTCCAGCACCAGCCCCAGCATCAGCCCCAGCATAAACACAAACACCACCCAAGCACCAGTACAACACAGCACAAACACCTGCACCTGCACTTGCACACAGATTATAATATAGAATGATATAGTATAATCCCTATAATATAATCCGTATAATATAACTAATCTTCCATATCATCCCCACCACACCATCCCGTCATATATACATATATACATAGGTACATAATCTCATACTAACCCATTTCATCCACTCATTCATTCATCCATCCATCCATTTACCCCCATCACATCATTCATCCATCCAACCATCCATTAACCCCCTCTCACCCTCCCTTCTCCTCCTCCCTCTCGAATCCATATGAACACTAACCCTCCCCCACTATCCCCACCATCCATCCATTCCTCTTCTTCTTCTTCTTCTTCTTCTTCCCACCCCTCTCCTCTCCCCCTCTCCTCTCCCTAGATATACACTATCCGATTCTCCATTCTACCGCATCTGTAATATACATCTCCTCTCTCATATCTCTCTCATACAGAGCCGGAAGAAAAAGCTAATCTTACAAATGAACAAAAATATTAAGACAAGATAATCAAACTCAAGCAGAACCAATATAAAATAAGGGTATATAAGCTGCAGCAAAGTCGAAAAAAAAAACAATGCGACGCTCCTATGCATAAAATGTAAACAACGCGGGTCTATTCTCAAGACTTGTGGTATAAAACAATTGACAAAACAACAATTCTCAAATCCTCAAAATTGACTTCCCTGTCAAAACTACATCATCATTAACCTCGTAGTTCTCCTTTCCATCTTCGTTGTTTCTCCACCCAGTAAACCTCCAGTACCCCCGTGCCTCCTATCACCCTGTGCCCTCCTAAAAGCATCCCTCTCACAATAAATCTTTCCATTCATCTCAAAGTAATCATGTCTCAGATTTCTCTTACAATCCGCACAATTCAGACATGTAGGATGAAATTTTTCCTTCTTTTCACTCTCCAAATATTGTCCCTCAATACCCCTATCGCAGCCATGACACATCGAGTCATTTAATTGATGGTAATGGTGTTCGCAATATGGGGCATCGTTGTGGACGTAGAATTCCAAGGTGGGGAAGGGAGAGCGACAAGTCGTGCATACAAAGCAAGGTTTGTGGTAACGACCTGTGAGACGACCATCGGCGGAGGATATGGATTTACCTTTGATGGGGAGAGTACAAGATTTACAAATTCCTTTTGACGCTGAGGGGCGGCGGGGAGCGGGAAGTGGTTTGTGTTGGTCGAGTAGTGGGGCAGTGTGAGATCGTTGGAAGCTGTTTAGAGGGGCCGGTGAGAGATTGCGTAATCGAGGATTGAGTGGCGCAGGTGAGGGTTCACGATTGATGGATTTGAGAGGCGCGGGTGAGGGAACACGAGGTGTAGGCGATAGGCGGCTTATGGGATTGGGGCCGTAATCTGGGGATCGAAATGCCGGACTCAGAGGCGAGTATAATTCTTGTTCCTTTACTGGCTCTAAATCACTGGGTCTAAGATAGCTGTCGTGTGGTAAAATGTTAGCCATAGATGAAGTAATTTCAGACATGAGATCCGACATTCTAGGGTTTGACTGCTGTCTCCGATGATAGTCATTGTCTGCTGTGGATGGGGGACTAGATCGTGAACTGGTTTTGCTTCCTTGCGAAATAGATGAATGATGTGAATGATGTGAATGAGTTGATGACTGAGAATCAGACAGGGAGTGATATGGATTGTTAGCACCAAACTCTGCTTCCAAGTTGATATTGGGTAATAGTGGAACCTCCCCAGCCTGATGTCCTGACCTTCCTCGGATGAGACTTTCACCTCGTGGGGGTAGTGCTCTTGACGTATCCGGACCACCAGAGAGTGATGTCTTTCGTCCTCTATCATTAGACTCCCGTCGACCGTGACTATTACTTGACACAGATGGGTTTCTACGTGAAACGTGAAGATCTAAGCTCTCTTTTCGCCGAGGGAAGGTCTGTGATCTTGTAGCTTCTGGACGGAAAGGTTCATGGGACCCTTCTGCCACACCGGATGGTTGTCCAAGTCCACCATAACCTTTACTGCGGGGTGGCATTGGGAAATTACTACTCGAGCTATTGGTTGAAGTTCTAGAATGTCCAGAAGCTCTGAAGAGTGTTCCGTCAATCTGCTCAGGCTCGGCAGTCAAGGGCGGTGAAATGATGTCATTGAAACGATCCACAGTTGGTTTTCTCTGATGTGTTGGCTCCTCTTTGGAACTTGGAACCTTATAAGAATTGTACTCAAATGATCCTGGCGCACTCGTATCAATTTTCGGTAAAGATGCAGCATTTGTCGGCCTCTTAGATACGTTGGGACTGGCGGGAGCGAGCATCGTCGAGTCTGCCCGTTCATATCTGGGTGATTGGCCGCCATACGCACTCTTAAGTCGAGGTGATCCCGACACTTTCGCTGTAGGGAAACGGGGGAATGCAGAGTCGAGATTCGATGATAATAGGGCGGGAGAAACTCTTTGTGTAGGTGGTGAAGACTCACCGACGCGTGAAGATTTTCCAAATGGTATTCGAAGTCGGCCGTGTGGAGTTAATGGAGAGGCACTTCGAGAAGGAGATGCACTATTCGCGGGTGTCCATTGATCTTGCTGGAAGAAAGGACGGTCTATAGATGTAGTTAGTATAATTTCAAATAGTAGTATAAGAGTAATGATATAAGTTTCTTCACATACTCGCAGCAGATGTATCAACCCTTGGAGGCATTGTTCTTCCAGGCTTTAAAAGACTTGGCCCATTAGAATATGGTTGCTTATTATAAGGCATTCTATCGAAAGTGGTATTTGATTCTGGTGGTGGTGAAGCTACATGGACTTCTTTAGTAAACCCTACTGTAAAAGAACCAACTTTAAAACTTACGTTCACCAGCAGGAGCAGGTCCAGGTCCCGAGCAAACATGCTCTCCCATCATAGCAATCTGAATATCTTTCGCACAACTCGAACATTTTATCGTAGGTAGAAAGCTCGAAGATCCCATAAGGTCTGCCATGATGTCCAAGATAATTTTTCTCTACTCCAACCACTCAATTCCCTCAATTGGTTCTTAAATGCTGGGCATATAGCGGTTGGATTATGTTGTTACCTATTCCTTCGTGATTGGTATGTTAGAGGCGGTAGAATGTTGTATAGGATGAAGGATGTGGGTGATGTTGGACTGAAGGATGTTGATGGAGAAATGCGACAAAGCTCATATGTCATGGAAGAAGATCTCCCAGAAACGTTCTTGGAACTCAATTGGATCCGATGGTAGAATGTAGGATGTCTCAATTAGGATTTCTCCAAGAGATATTGAGTTTGAGGTATGAGTTTAGTGAAATATCAATGCGAATGAAGAACAAGGTTTGTGTAAGTATTGATTTGATGTACGAGTAATTCCGATTGTAATTCCTATCAAAAGAATGGAACGAATTGACGAAGATCAAATGATCTGATGGTATGTGTACTGTAATGACCGTGGTGTGTGTGGTGTGTGTTCTGTTGCAAAGGTCCAAATAAAAACGTGGAAAAGAATCTTGAGTAGAGGAGATGAAACTATAAGTCTGGAGAAAGAGGAAGAGAAGAAGATATCTTGGTATCTCATGTGACCTTCTCAATTAGAGAGAGAGAGAGAGTCAGTAGTGTGAGTTGAGTCCAACTGATTAAATCGAGTTTAATCGTAACATACAATGGACGTCAAGGGTAATTGATTGGATAAGAATTAAATCAAACAAAGTTTATCTGCAACACAGACATTAAAAATAACCCAATTGCATTACCGTTGGTGATTATCGTTCGTCTCATTTATAAAGATTGTCTGAATCAAGTTAGGTTTTACTATGCATTAGAAAGAAAAGATGGGATGGTTTGGTTTGGTTTCATTGATATGTTTTGGTGATATGGAATTAAATGAATAGATTGAGAGGGAGAATAAATGGCACAGATCATTTGGAAGAATTGGAAGAAATGAATGGGAGAAGCTTGTTGGTCTTGGTGCTGGTCCAAGAGGTCAAAGCTATAGTATAGTTGCACGGTATCGGTACTGCGTTGGGTTGGAAGAGTTCCTAGAAAGGTATGGATGGACCATTCATTCTCATGTTCATCCGAAATTAATTCTATTTAATAATGTGATGTGATATACTCGAGTATACTCTGTAGAAAGAGGTGTAGATAGGTATTGGTAAAGGTTATACCAGTAGTCCTTAAGTATATATACATTCATCAAGGCCAAGGTCGAACTTCCATAAATCTTTTTGGTAGATATCAGTAGTCATTCTTTATTGGTATATCCCATTCCTATTCCCCTCCGAGTTCTCCATCATTTAACTCTAATAATTAACCTTCTTCTCTTTCCCCCCTTTATCCATTCATTACCCATTTGGCTATACATTCAAAGCTTTATCTACTAGGTAGATAAATAGATACACATTTAGTCCGTTCCCTATTCGATAACCAGTTCATCCCATTAATCCAGGATCATCTACTCCACCAAAGTATTAGTTCAATAACACTAAAATGTTGATCAGGGTTCATTTCGGACTTTGCAGTTATTAATAAAATTAATATTCCCAAAACCGATAGGCCCCACACATTGATGGACTGTAACTAACTACCACAAAAAAAGATTTCACAACCCTGAGTTAACGACCCTGATTTCCCACTGACCCTGATTTCCCAACCCTGATTTCCCGCTGACCCTGATTTCCCACTGACCCTGATTTCCCAACTCTGATTTCCCGCTGACCCTCATTTCCCGCTGACCTGATTTCCCGACCCTGGTCCTCCGAAACCAATCCCTTAACTTTGATTCTCCTTTCTAGCCTTGATATAAAACAACCCATCACAATGTAAACAATTCTTCAATGTAGCTTTCATCCACACCAACATTCTCTTCCACTTATTCTCCTTATTCCAGATACCAACCGCCCGCACAGTTCTTTGATCCAGTTTCGAATGCACATTTCCATTTCCTTCTAAAAACTTTCAACAAGTTCACCGGCGCTAGAGTTCAGATTGTAACTCTACTAGTACTTCCGATGTAGTTTGAAATTTTCGACTCCAACACCCATCAATAACCTTCGCAATTTCGATATCGATTCCTGTGAGATCTGGAAAATCGCTGTTTTGTAATTTGTGGAAAACCAATTCCTGATAATCTTCCGAATCTTCGTTCAATATGAGTCGATCTTTAATATCCGCATATGGGAGTCTGATTTTACAAAAATTTGGATCGAAAAAACCGGCGTCAGGAATCATCCCACCATCAATACCCTTATCCTTATCCTCACAAAAAGCACTTCCAAAATCAGCCAAATAAAGATCCAATTTATCATCCAACAATAAATTTCCAGGTAATAAATCACAATGGGCAACATTCTTAGAATGAATATGCACAAGAGCTTCTGTTGTTTGTCGACACCATTTCAATCGCTGAGATTTACTGATTTGTTGAATGCCTCGTTGTTGAATATATGTTGCTAAATCGCCATTCGCGTATTCTTTGAATAATAGACCATTAAATTCTTCTCCTTCAATCACTCCTCCAAATCTAAATACAATTAGTTTATATAATTATAAATATAAATCATAACATACTCAATAATTCTTGGATGCCCAATTACTAAAGGTAGAACAGATATCTCTGTACGAAATGCAAGTTCTCCTTGTTCCTTGAAAAAGTCTTTTCCCAAGGTTTACACACTTTCACAACCCAACCTGGTCTGGGACTCGAACGAAAAACCATAGACCAAGAACCTTGACCCACCATCGACTCGCCAATGAATAAGGGAGGCATGTCTAATTAGTAGATAGGTATGCTAAGAGTGATTTGTTGAAATGTAGATGAAGTGTTAGAGATGCCTAGAAGGCTGTGTACCGGAGCGGGAGTTCTATAGTCCGGGTATATTCTAACAGGATTATGGAAAGATACCCGGATTATATGAATGCCCGATTCCGGTACGCAGCCCTTGGGCATCATCATTTTTGATTTGTTGATAAACTTAGGGTTAAGCTACCTATGGTTGGGTGAGGTTTGGATGAGAATAAGGAATGGACTTCGACATCTCAAAGAGGATGGGGTCGATATCCATGCATTGAAGGCCTATAAAGGTGGTAAGTTCAAATTATTCCTTCATCTCAGGAAACAGAAACGTTTATTTTATATGTACCTACTAGGTATATATTTACCATTAAGCTAAACGAAACAAACCATCGAACAATTTCTTGGTTTGATATACTCGAGTAATCCATGTTAATTAACGTTATTAGAACTCTATATATATGAGGCCACTGGCCGGTACACAGGTCTAAAGAAATGGTTTCAGATGTCGCGCGCTTTCAATATATACTAGGTAGGTACCTGGGTAGATATCCATAATGGATATCAATAAGTTCTATGCTAGTACTGTAATAACTGTATATCTCAACTCACTTTATAATCCCCATTCTCCTATTCTATCCTTCATCAAAAAAACTAACATTATCCCCAAAATCTAGAGCCTTATGTTAGCAGCAAGCAGCAGCACAGGCTATTATTTATTTCCTATCTATCCTAGTTATCAAATCGAATGATAGCCTCCAATCAACAGATCAACCCCATTTCGGTTCCTGTTCTTATTTCTTGTTCCTTACCGCCCACCACTCACCCAAGATTTGACTGAGATTTGCTGGTCGATTGATTGCCAGTGGGGGTTGCACTGCTGGTGGGTGGTGTAACGAATGAGTAGATATTATTTCTCCAGCATCTCAAATCAATTAATCATTAGTTAAACTCTATAATATCTATAGAAGTTGTTTAACATAACTGTTATATATGAATAGTCACCTCCATCTCCATCTCTATCTCCATCTCCAACAATTACAGTTACTAGTAATTTGCACCATGAACTTGCAGCACTAGGTAAGCTACCAAAACCGAATTGTTCTTCCATGTAGTATATATTCTGACCGCTTTTTTGATACCTTGGTACAGTATAAATATTGGCTAGAACACGTGGGTTAGGGTTTGCTACTAAGGGGTATAACCACGTTTTGTGATACTAGTAGAAAAATATTTTGGATTTCGGGAATATGGGTTCCGGGGTGGTGTTTATGATATTAATGATGATGGGATGGAATGGCTGGATGAATGAATGGATAACTGCTAGAGTTCAGATGTGGGGGTGAGTATTGATGATATTGAATGAAAATTTAGAGTAATAACATGGTGGGTGAGCTTTCAATTGCTTCATTTATGAAGTATAGGTAGGTAGGTAGGTAATGAAGTATCAACTGCCGGTATATAAAGATATCGATATTCTGGAAGCGAGGAGCTCATAGGTCTAGTCGATTGCTTGGGTCTTGGGCATATCTATTGTAAGTCTATCAAATAATATGCGAAGTATGCAGTCCTTCTCTGTCGTGGTTATATCTTCCTTTTCTCTTACTGTGCTGTCTGTATATGAAAAGCAATGCCAGTATCCCGAATATACTATTTCTCCTTCTCCACAACCCTTCTCCAGATTCTCCGCAAGAGAAGAAAGATGACGGATAATCTATGTTTCCTTTTGGTTGAGTACGTAATATTTTACCCAATCGGCTTGTGGTTATGGTAATAGTGGGGAATAGCTTTGCTGGCTTAAACCTGTACCTAGCTTTAGTGGGGGTTACTAACGGCATTGCGGACAACGGAACAAGACAACGAAGAATAGAATAACTTAAAGTGACTTCCATCCCCACGAAAGTAACTTCCATTTTAATAACTACATACAACATACCGTACCTTCGAAATATTCCAAGAACAAGATCAATTGCGAAAGCGAAACCTCCCCAAAACTTAACTCAACTAAACATATAGATTGCACTTACGAGTGTGATCACCCCGTCGTCAAGACGTTTTCCAATCTACTCAACTCGTAAGTGCCCCTTTAAGAACATCTCCTCCTCAACTACGCTCTTTCCCAACTTTTATATATCCTCATTGATGAATGATGACTTCATTATGATCCTATTGTTTACATCTGATGGACTACTGCCTTCCACAACTTCAATGTTTACATGCAGTTTTGGCGTATCCTACCTTCTCCTTTGTCATTAGTTTCATACTTCCTTCCCGATATGCGCATCAACCTCGAGGAATCTCTCATTACAGAAGGAACATTATAGAAATACCATACTAACAGTCTACCAACAGATCGCACCATCCCTTTGCTGGTGCCCGTTGCTCTTCTCCAGCAGGAGCGTCGGACTCGCCGTTTGTTAGATAAATAGTCGTGCAATCCCCCAGAATTCTTCTTCTCCCAAACACAACATTTGCACACTTTTGGTCTATACATTTGTACCCATCAAACTCGAAAATCAAACATACATTTGCTCTTCCTACAATTCTACTTCAATCCTAAGATTATTCTCAACATCTTCATCATTAAATCAAGAATTTCAAGAACTTTCAAGAACTTTTCGAGTTTCTAAATCAAGATGGCTCCTCACGCAAACGGCTCCAGCAACACCAGCGGAAATGGTGCAATTTCCCAATCCTCCAACCAAGACTTGTTCACCGTCAGCTCTCCCAATGTTATCTACACCGATGACGAAATTCGCTCCAAGTACAGCTATCGTACTACCTCTGTCACTCAGACTGCCAGTGGTAATTTCGTGGCTACTCCCAAAGACACTGTCTATGACTTCAAGGTTGACCGTAAGATCCCCAAGACAGGTATGATGCTTGTCGGTTGGGGTGGAAACAATGGTACTACCGTCACTGCCGGTATCATTGCTAACCGTCGTGGTCTCTCCTGGGAGACTCGCGAGAACGCTCGTGAAGCTAATTACTATGGCTCTGTTGTTATGGGTTCAACCATGAAGCTTGGTACTAACGCAAAGACTGGTGGTGATGTCAACATTCCCTTCCACAATGCCTTACCAATGGTTCACCCCAATGATTTGGTTATTGGCGGCTGGGATATCAGCGGTTTCAACTTGTCTGATGCCATGAATCGTGCTGGTGTTCTCGAACCTACCTTGAAGGCTCAAATCAAGAAGGAGATGGCTGACATGACTCCACTCCCTGGTCTCTACTACCCAGACTTCATTGCTGCCAACCAAGAAGATCGTGCCGACAATCTCATTCCAGGTAGCAAGGCTAGCACTGAGCATGTCGAGAAGATCCGTCAGGATATTCGGTGAGCATATACTTTCTTTTCCCATCAATTTCCATTCGCTAATGTTCTTTTCTTTCAGTGACTTCAAGGCCAACAACGGACTCGACAAAGTCATCGTCCTATGGACTGCCAACACTGAACGTTTCGCAGAGCTCATCGATGGTGTCAATGATACTGCCGACAACCTCTTGCAGGCGATTGAGGATGGACACGAAGAAGTTGCTCCTTCTACCATATTTGCTGTTGCATGCATCCTCGAAAACACACCTTTCATCAACGGTTCTCCACAAAACACATTTGTTCCTGGTTGCATTGAGCTTGCAGAGAAACATGGTTCCTTCATTGGTGGTGATGACTTCAAATCTGGTCAAACTAAGATGAAGTCTGCTCTCGTTGACTTCTTGATCAGTGCTGGTATCAAGCTCACTGCCATCTCCAGTTACAATCATCTTGGTAACAATGATGGAAAGAATCTCAGCTCTCAAAAGCAATTCCGTTCCAAGGAGATCTCCAAATCCAATGTCGTTGATGACATGGTAGCAGCTAATACTGTTCTCTACAAGGAGGGTGAACACCCTGATCATTGTGTTGTCATCAAGTACATGCCAGCTGTTGGTGACAACAAGCGTGCTCTTGATGAGTACTATGCCGAGATCTTCATGGGAGGTCATCAAACCATTTCGTAAGTTGCCTTTCAATCTATGCTCATGTTTATATCATACTAACCATCGATAGTCTCTTCAATGTCTGCGAGGATTCTCTCCTTGCTTCTCCATTGATCATTGATCTCGTTGTCCTTGCCGAGATGATGACTCGTATCCAATGGAAGGCTCACTCCACCGATGGTTCCACCACCAAGGACTACAAGAACTTCCACAGTGTTCTCAGCATTCTCAGCTACATGCTCAAGGCTCCTTTGACTCCACCTGGAGCTCCAGTTGTTAACGCACTTGCTAAGCAGCGTGGTGCTTTGACCAACATCTTCCGTGCTTGTGTTGGTCTTGAGCCTGAGAACGATATGACATTGGAGCACAAGCTCTACTAGATTATCACTTTGGTCTGATATTGTGGATGGTTGATTGGTCATGATGGGCTGGGGTTCTTTATGGTGGGATGAGATTCCTTGATGGATTCTCGAATTGCTTCTTACTGTTCTTGTCTACCTCATGGTGATAAGTACCATGCATTCATTCTTTAGATGGGATAGATTTACCTAAAATAGAAAAACTTTGACTTCTAACATTGTCTTTTTTATTTCATACATTGTGATATTTTCGACGTTTACTAGATTTTGAATTGCAAGATTTCCTGGTGTTCAGGTCATGAATCTGAATGAGGAAGGAGTGAAAAACGTGCTGATCGTTAGCGCGGTTTACCTTTACAGTTGATTCTCGTTCAATCATCTTCACTTTTGAACATGACATTTTTCCAACATTAGGATTTTATTTGACCATGCCGCCCGCTTCATACCCATCAATTCAATCTTTCTTTCAGAAAGAAGTTCGAGTTCAATCCATCTCTTCACCTTTGCGGGGGAGAGAAATGTCGAGTCCTTTGGGTGGTGGAAGGGATGAAGGAGGAGAGTTGAGGGTGGGAGGAGATCCAGGTGTAGGGGAAGAAAGAATAATAGAAGATGGGGATGGAAAAGGAAGAGATGGAAAGGGAGATGGGTTTACTGTGAGTTTTGAATTTACTTAGCAGAGTTTTAATTTTTGGGGGATGACGGGAATGAGAATGAGGAGGGGAAGGGAGAAGGAGAAGAAGGAGAATGAAGAGGATGAATAGGAACAGGAGGAGGAGGAGGAGGAGGCTGGATAAGAAGGGGTGAGGATGGATGGGGGAGTACGAGGGTGAGGAGAATGAGGGGGTAAGGATAAGGGGGCAAATGGGGTGAGGAGGATAGGGAGGATGAGGAGATGAGGAGAATGAGGAGAATGAGGAGAATGAAGAGAATTGGAGAACTGCGAACTGACAACTGCTAATGAACATTCCATGTGGTAGGAAGAAGAATTAAATGAAGCCATGGATCCATTGACCAGAAAATGGAATCCAAGCAGAGAATATGAGAGTGTAGATGTGGGGGCATTAATTCCTGGTGAGTAATTTGTGATTATTCTTAGGCGTCCCCTTGTGCAAGTGGTCATCATAACCTTTTACCTTTTTCTGGTTTACGCTTAGTAGGACTGGTGAGATATGAAGGCGATGCCATCATTTCGAAGAAGGAAAAGAGATCATGTTTGAAGAATTACTTATTGATCTGTTCGTGTGCTAGGACCAAAAGCTGTTACGTTTTTAGGGAGAGTGGTAAGTTTTGCGACGGTTATTGGGAAGAGTGCAAAACAGCCTAGGGCGAAAGGATGGCATTATGCGGGGGTTAGGGGGGAGGGTGGTGTTGTTTCTGTGAGTGGTGCTTGTATTTATCTTCCCTCGTTTGGTTTCCACTCGCTGCACTCGTTTTCCTTAATCTTTGCTTTAGTTGGAAGTTGTAACTGTGCTAACTTCACTCCCTCAGGTCAAACTTTACTTTGCAAATCAACTTTATCCCCTCAAACTCGGTCAACTTCTCTCAATCTGGACAGCCTTCATATCCGATACCTCGAAAGCCGACGGTACATCCACAGCTGGTATCATCGCCTGTGCAAACCTTTTCCCAGGTAGAAATACAAGTGATCACGTCATGATCCATACCCATTCCGGTGCTTCAGATATCTGTCGTATTCCACTTGGTTACAAAAAAGACGAACCTTTACCGGGATTAATGACGCTTGAAGGTTATCTAAAAGGAGGATATGATGGGGTTGTGGGTGTCAAATTATTGGTTTGTGTAAAGAGTATTGGAGCGAGAAAGAAAATTGTTAAAAAGGATGGGGGAGAGTCGGATCTTATTGAAGTTGTGCTATTTGATCATACCGCGGAAGTCAAGATGAAATGTTGGGGTGATTTGATTGAGAGTGTGAAGGAATGGTTGCCTGGAAAAACAATACTTCTTATGTCGAATCCGATGCATAAGCTTGGTTTTGGTGGGAAAGGGGTAGTGGGGTTTGGAAGAAATACTATAATGGATGTAGAGCCAGAGTTTGCGGATGCAAATTGGTTGAGAAGATGGGCAAGAGGATTGATGAGGAAGGAGAGTGTAGGGATTACTTTTCCAAATGAGGTTTGGGGGGAAGAGGGTGTACAAGAGGCGATTTATGGACCGAGGACTGCGTTATTTGGGTTGAGGGATGTGGAGGATTGGGTTAGGGAGGAGTCGAGGGAGACGTTTACTGGGTGGATTAGTGTGGTGATTTTGGAGATGGATTTGTTGAGGATTTGGAAGAGGAATATGCTGATGTGTACGGAATGGTTTGTTATCCTTCCCTTACCTTCTCACATCAAATACATTTCACGCACTACCTAATAAACTAATCATCATAGCTGCGGTATACCAATCTACAACAATACCCCCACAACACCCTGTCCACACTGCGCGAAACCACTAACTCTCTCACTGAATCCAAAAATTATAGGGACACTGGTAGATGAAACGGGTTGTATAGCGCAGGGCAAACTCGTTTGGAGTGTGAATGCGTGGGGAGAGTTGTTGGGGAGGGGAATTGAAGATGTTTGTAGGATGTCGGGGGAAGAAGTTAGGTTGTTGGAGTGTAGGATGTTGGGGTTGAGGATTAGTTTGTGTTTTGGGTGGGTGGGGGAGAGCGGAGAGGGAGGGGAGGTGGATGTGGGAGTTGGAGGGAGATTGTGTGTATTGGGCGTTAGGGTTTGAGTTTATATGAGGGGAGGGGGGTTTGTTAGTAGTGGACCAGTGGTGGGAATTGAAGAGTGGAGACTGGGGGTGAAGACTGGAAAATGGATACTGGAGGGTGGATATGATGTGGCATTGTGTGCTGGTGCTATCTACTTGCTTGTATATGTATGGATACCGGATATTAAGGTATAATAAGGAGGAAGAGAACGCGAAAGAGTACTCGTATATCTACATTACACACTAGTATAGTTAGATCTTACTATATTTCTAAGAAAGATTAGTTCTATACTCGTAGCTTTATAACTATATAGTCATCTATCTATCAGTATATCTATCTATCATTTATCTATAAATGTTCATCACGAAAATCAAATATAAGTCAGCTAATCAGCCAATCAATTAAAAAACTCAACAAGTATCCTAGAGTATACAGGAATAAAACATATCTGCCCACCCCCCACTTCCCACCTCTCACCACCTTCCCACATTTCCCATCCAACAAGAAAAACCCTCCTACAACGAATTATCTTTGGCTAATACAATATCCATATCCAGTTCATATGCTCACTTTCTATTCTTTTAAAAATTTGAAAATTAAATAAAGACTCTTGGGTGTTTAGAAGTTTGGAAGTTTGCAAGTTGAGGGCATTCACTAGTCATATACTAATATTGTTTGGATTATGTTTGATATCTATATCTATATCGATATAGATCTAGATATGCCTTAGTTGATTAATTGATTGGTTATTAGCTAATTAAGGGTTGTGATGAGGGGAGGATTTAATTTGATTGAAAGTATTTTGAGTCAAAATCTAAATACAAATAGATCTCGAGCTCAGATTGTTTAATTTTGAAAATCAGAGTTTAATTTCTAGTGTGTATATAAAAGGCTCAAAGGGGCTTGGGTATTTTTTGTAGAAGTACACGAGTAAGTTGTATTCGTAGAAAGTATTTGTAAGAGACTAGCTGCAGATGGTTGGTTTAGTAACTTTAGTTGTTCTTTCCTCGATTTGATTTTGGAATTCGGAAGATACCTGCTCTAATTTTACTCGTACAGTAGGAATGATATGATATAATCTTGCGGAGAATTTCTCTACTTATTCGGAGTATTTAGGGCTTCACGGTTGCTGTCTGTCTCTTTTCTCGGTTATATTATTGTCGAATAGCTTACTGTTGTTGAAATGATGAATCATCTATAATGTAAAATGATTGATCTGAAAGCTATGTTTGCATTCACATTCACATCCTTCATTATAAACACTTGATTCTCGATAACCATTGTCGTTTTTTTCTTGAGACTCTTTTGAATACTATTGCATTCACTGATCGGGGTGCTACTTCATTTGCTTTCAGTGTTAATGCAGAATCCAAATCAAAAGAACTATCTCTTTTATACCTTAAAACTACGGTATAATCTCTATCTATTTACTCGAGTACACAGAAAGTGAATATACATCCATCTTTATATCTTTCTCATACGGTTATAGTCTTCTTTTTCTTTTCTTTTCTTTTCTTTTCTTGATATGATATGATATAAATATCCAACGTAAGTGATCATAGTGTTTGTATTAGTATGCTTAAATATTTCACAACTTGAAGCTCACGAAATGCCTGGGAAGCTGCTTCCTTGATGTTTATACATTTCTAAAATGGCCCAGGAGTGTATCAGACTTTTTATACAATGTTCTGGATGTGAATTGTTTGTTATTCTGGGTATGTATGTATGTATATATGTATGTATGTGGTGTGTGTATACGACACATTGGCAGCATTAATCATAAAATCAATGGTAAAGAATTGTTATAATTATCTCATATTTGCGCTTTCACTATCATCTCGTACTCCGCATTCCGTCTGGATGGTTGTCATTCACATCTCAAAGATTCAAAACCATATCCATATCCCATCGGATACCAGAGAGCTATCTCAACACTCAGACTTGGAATAGGGCTAAAGTTCAGATACCAGTGTCTAAAAATCCACTTTTCGAAAACTAATAGATGTGTTCACGCTTAATTGACTAGGCTTCCGTTCTTGTATCAACACTGTTTTCTAAGCGATGTTTCGTAGGAGATAGTGGTATATATAGTGATAGCCCCTCGTAACCAGATCGCTTATTATATCGGGAAGCTAGGGTTGCAATTGCCGAGAAACGGTTGACTTCAAGTTTTCTCTTAGCATATGTCTGCAGCACAAATCATCAATTGTATATAAAAGCTCGTCTGACTAGTCAACTATTCTTCCTTCTCTATGGCTATTTTTTCCAGGAGCTGTTATCCATTTTCAAGTTTCTTTTGAGCAGAGTGTGTTTCAATCCTCAGTTTACGAGAGTAGAGATTATACTATGCAGTACTGTATTAGAGGAGCATCCGATTGCTACCGTCACGGTCTGATTATTAGAACGTTTATCATCCTACCTCCAACCATATACCTGAGTACGAGTATTTTTATCTATCTGTTATTGTTCGAGTCACGGGTGATTGTGATTGTCAGATATTCCATTTGTCTTACTTTTGATCCAAAATGCAGAATGTTGTTATTCACATTCACACTGCTAAGACATCGATACTCAAACTTAAAAGTATTTTCGTGATGGCTTCTGATTATATAGTCTTCCAGAGTCTCGCAAATGATTAGGCTAGAGATCGCTCTGCTCCTTAGTTCATTCTGGTAATGACTAAGTCAACTACCCCACTTTTCGGCCACCCTCAAAACCCATACCGCCTCAGCAACCTACCTTCTTAAATATTTTCTGATTAAACAACCATTCAATCAATTGATTTCGAATTTTGATTTACTATTATTTATATAATATCGAAACTCCATATTGAAGATGATATTGCTGTAGTTTTAAATGCTATCGTGAATGGTATTTCGATATAAAAAGCTGCTCTGGAATATGGGATTTTTTGTATTACATTTCAGAATTGTATCAATAGCTGTGTATCTTATCAAAAAGGTTTCAAAATGATACAAAAGATTGCTCTGATTTAGGAAAGATGTTTAGTGGAATAGATAGTAGTATAAAAGAGCTTAAATACTAATCCTATTTATTAACAAATTCGAGAAATTGTTGAACACCTCCTTAATATAAAAGAATTCGATTCTATCCTTAGAAAACAATAGGTATGCAATTTTTTGGAGAGGAATTCAGAGATTAGAACTAAGAGATAATATAGAATCGACTCTGCCCGAGTTTCGGGTGCTTCCTATGATATTATTGCGCTATGGTTTTGAAAATTTGAATTGCCCGAGATTATCGACATAAAACCATAAAATCGATACAATATGGATAAGGCTGGTATAATGGAGGATCAGGGTCTTAACGGCCTAGTAGTAGAAAGCTCCCAGCATCGTTATATTAAAAAAAAACAATCTGGTTCAAGAGTTTGGATATCTTTTATCAAATGTATTTCGGCGATAGGAAGGGCCCTTAAACCATTCGTTATTTTCAAGGGGAAAACTGTTCAACAACAATGGTTTCCCACTGATCTTGATTTTTATAAGGATTGAAACTTTATTGTTACAGAAAATGAATAGATTACTGATACTACAAGATTAGAATAATTGGAAAAGGTATTTATACCTCAAACTACCCCTTTTAAATCTGGTAATGCACAATTACTTATATTAGATAGACATGGAAATCATAAAACTATACCCTTTATATACAAATATTTCGAATATAATATATATTTTCTATTCCTACTACTATAAACATCCCATATCCTATAACCATTAGATTTATCAGTTTTCTCATCTCTGAAAAATGCTTATTGACATATATTCAATAATTTGAATTCTCTCTTTGATTCTACACCAATTGGAAAGTGTAACTTTTTTCATTGTTATCAGAAGGTTAGAGCAAAAACTCTAATAGTCTATAATATCAAAGCGGGGTGGAAAGCATCAAATCTATAGCCCAAAAACTGTGTTAAACCTCTTATAAATCGATTATTACTTGAAAACAGCAACCAAAAGGTTTTATTGATTAATCCAGTATCTAATAATGATCCCCAGTTTCAATAGAATATAGAGATATTAGTTATTATTTGGAAAACCCCTTAAAAAGTATTTGATCTTCGATTATATACATTGATTATAATCCAAGGAAAAGAACCTGATTTGCTGATGAGATGGTTGCTTTTTTGAAAGATTATTAAGGCTTTTGATATCAAGGATTATAAACTTATAATATTGGGGAAACGAATAAAGTAATTGAAATATCAATTGGAAACAGTTGTATCTAAGAAAAGGTGTAAGGTTATGATTAGTCCAAATACCAGGTTTACAGGGATTAAAGCTATTAGGGAGGTGCAAATCGTGGCTAGGGATTGTGGAATTATTGCAGAAGATAGTGATGATACAATTGAAAGTAATGATATAGGCGATTTTATTTTAGTTGAATAGTTATTGAGTTATATGGTTTGGGAGGTAGAGAGTTTTTTTTTATCAGGTGGCCGAAAAGTGAGGTAGTTGACTTATTGTTATGTCTGAAGCTCTCAAAAACAGACCGATTTATCTTTAAATACTGAGATAATTTGTATTGAAGGGCTTGTGAATTAGAAAGATACGTTCATTATTTGTTTCTTTAGTACTGACTCATGATGACTGAATATAACTGGTGGATATTCACTTGCGCTACAATGCTAAACAGCAATTCAATGAATAGATTCTCCGCAAACAAGATAAAAGGCTTGGAACTGTAGCTGTGGAGGTATGATAGACACAAGCGTCGAAATGGGGTTGAGCGTGGAAAGCTCGGTATGTGAAAAATTTGGAATGAACTCTCGGGTGCTTCCTGAATTAAACACGCATATTTTTGCTAGGAAACTGATAATATCATAATCTCGGCTGTTAACATAGGCGAACATGTTATTTTCGCTGTTTCTATTTGTATGTCTTTTTCATAGCCTTCCAGAAATCTTTTTCCCGCTTTCAATGTATGGACTTATCTCTATTCAACAATCTCTATTCATCACCTTTCAGGCTCCGCATGTATTGACAGCTCAAGCATTACAAGTTGTTCCGAGATATTTTCTGTTTTGATGGGTAAATTCTCATATGGTGGGGCTGGCAATAAGGAGATAAAGGATCATTGGCACGAGCAGTCAGGCGGGTTAATTTGCTAATTATACCATCCACCTTATCCTCAGGTGAGGAACGTAAAATAAAACTATCACTATCCTAAAATGCACTTGGGATTTAGAGTCAAGTATCTGACTCGGAATCTTAGATCGGAAGGATCAAGAGTCGCCACCCTACTCAGTAAATGATAATGTGGTTTGGAATATTGCGATATAGTTTATGGCAAATAGATCTTGTGATTGATTATATATTTAAAAATCGAGTTTATAAAAAATGTGAAAGGTAATGAGTTAAATTATTGAGAGATGGGTCAAAGATTCGATTAGGAATTGTTATTTACTAAAACATACTTGGATTTTTGATTGGAGTAAAGACGATTTAGGCTTTGTAGAGTAGATAGAGTAGAATACATTATGGATAATTGAGCAACTCCAAATCAAGGAGGAGATGCTTTTTAGCCCGAGAGTTTTCTATAAAAAGAATATCTTTGGCTCGACTGACTTTTTGATCAAACCTATTGAAGAAATAAGTTCTTGATGCTATAAAATGGAAAACTTGTCGACAACTTTGAAGTAATCTAGTCTGAGATATGGAAATCTGAGAAGAATAAGACGAATGCTTGCGCGTGTTAACTGAGAGATATAACGTCTGATGTTCATATCCTTGTTGCTAGTGGTTTGATATATTGATTATTCGTGTATGGACAACATTAAGTATGACCGGCGACACTATATTCTGGTTTCACTCGTTGATTCCTATTTACCACTATATCATACTATACTCTCGTCCATGAAGTCATCCTCGTATTTGATTGCTTAGAATCTATGCTATTACATTAGCTTCACGCCTAGCTACCTTTTATAAATCGCTACCTGGCCATCCTGCTAATGCTAATCTTGAAACTAATGAGGGTAAGTTTGATTCGAGCTTAACCTATACTCAGCCTTACACCATCAGCCTTAAGCTATACTTTCAAATAAAGCGCTTTCGGAACCATATCACCACCACTGAACATTAAAAGTCTCATCAAACAATATAAGTAAACGTAAACTCCCTCCGAAACTCATTGGCTATGCCATGACTACCACACAACAGCTATAAAGCTAAAATACAAAGAATAATAAAACCATACTTGCTACCAACAGTCAAGATATAGATCTAGTTGATGAGATAGCAACCTTAGCTAGATATGCGGCAGCAAAACAATGACAAATACATTAGAGGGGTTTCAAAAGACTCATTTCCCAAGCCTGGCCGCGCAACTTTGCATCGGAGTTATTGCCCGTTCGGTCAATTGAAGACTCGATCTACATGAGAAGGAGTCTGCACGCTAATAGGTATGGGTTAAGTGGTACGAGACGGCATAAATATACTGGAATTGCTAAACTTGGCGTGTCATTGTGGAATCCCACCAATCGTCCTCACCGTTATCCGATTTTCACACTTTGCACCATTCTATCACGACCATCCGTTAAAGATGCGCCGTGACTGTCATACCAGCATCAACCAATAAACCTACCCCATTAACATAACTTGCAGAAGGACTGCACAAAAACACCGCCACATTTGCCACTTCCTCTGGTGTAGCAGGTCGACCAGCAGGTGAACTCTTTTGAATAACCTGATCCAGCCCTTTCCAGCGACCTAGACTGCGTTCTAGCATTGAAGTCTCTACCCAGGTTGGACAGAGCGCATTGACGCGGATTTGGTGTTTTGCGTTATCGAGTGCTATTTGTTACATCAAATTAGTCAAGAGACTTCAAGCATAGAATGAAACGGGGCCCAAGGAAAAAAGGAAATAGAAAGACAGATAGAACATACCAGAAACCTTGGTGATACCCATAACGGCATGTTTATAAGCCACGTAAGCCATCATTCCCGGCGCCGCAATATAGGAAGCACTACTTGCGAGATTGACAATACATCCTCGACCCAGACTGCGTTCTAAACCATGACGGCCTCTGATTGTGAGAGGTTCTTGCGTTGTCATTGCTTTGGTCACGGCACGCGTACAGAGCATGGCTCCACGAGTGTTGACGGAGATGGTTTTATCGAAGTTGGCGATATCGATGTCGGACGTGGGGGCGAGAGATGCGGCTCCTATCTAGGAATAGATAGAGACGTGTCAGGTATGAAAATATGTTATGTGTTTAGAAGATGAAGGCTGGTGGAAGTGGGAGTTAGGAAGGTCTTTGCACTTACACCTGCACTGTGAACAAAGTAATCGATTCGACCATACTTCTTGACAGTCCAATCAACCATGGCCTGAACACTTTCTGCATCCGCAACATCGACTTTGAGGGCTGCATATTGATATTTGGGATTGGTTGAAAATTCTTTGCTCTTCTCGGCACTGATGTTGGCGCCTTCGAGATTGATGTCGGCGAATATCACCGTGAGAGCACCGGCTTCCGCAAATGCATAACCTGTTTCTCGGCCTATTCCTAAAGCTGCCTAGAAATTAATGTCAGAGCAGTTTGTATGATGGATTGAAGAGTGTAAAGAATTGGAGCAATGTAAAGGAAGTATTTATACCTGTTACGAGGGCGACACCGGTGACTGTTGTGAATGACATGGTGATGAGATTGTATGTAGGTAATTATGTGTTCAAAGATCCAGACAATGGTGACCGGTACTTGGTAGATTTTGGGATGTTGAAATTTTTAAAAAGCGACGCCTTACTATGAGCAACAGTAAGGTATTATGAAAATCATACAGTACCTACCCGTACCCTACCCACGCTAATAATTACTCAGTCAAATAACTTGTTGGAGTAAGTGCATGGGGTTCTTCAGTGAATATGCATTTTCGTGGCACTGCACAGGAAATTCACTTCATAAGTTCGAATGGTACAATCCAGCAATTATTCACTGAAAATCAACTATGCAAATTGAGGGCTTAGCATTATAGATGAATGAAGTGACGTTTGAAACCGAGATGGTGATGAGAGAGAAAATCATTTTAATGTTCCTAAATTTGTAGGAAGGAGTTGTAAGGCTCTCCAGCATACCGAGGCATAACTTAGTGTTGTTAGTAGTGATGTTGGTAGTGATGTTTTGTTGGTTGTGTTGTTGGTAGTGAGCTATTTACGCTTTGGGATATACAGTAAGCGAAAGTGGGCTCTTCGAAAATAAGGGGAAGTAGCTTTTCTATATCCAAATATAAACATTTTTATAGCAAAGCAACTTTCTCATAATAATAAAGGGAGATAGCAGTTAGGGTTTTGAAAACGATTGATGGAAACAGAGGGCTCCTTCCTTTTGAAACAAAAAGAACGGATGCAGTCGGCATATTCATGCATGCATGATTGCGGCGAAGTAGTGGAGCGGTGGTGTTCTGCTATATTTCTCAGATCTCTAAGATACAATTTGTTTCTTTTGCCACATGAGCAACAAAGATAGAGTTTGTACCGCTGCGAAAGCGATCACGATTCTTGATTGCAGATTATAATCACCACGAAGAAATTCATATATCACTTAATTTACTGTACGATATATAGATTAGGTATATTTGGCAGTCAAAAATCAATAGCCGTTATACTTCAGTGAGGTGAGTATACAGTCGGGATGTCACGTAATCTCTCTATGCAGTAGTGACAAAGGCTAGCCCGAGTGCATCACCCTTATGTGGACCTGTGTGGCGCAGCTACAAACCACTGCTACAGAGGGAAGAATCAGCAAATCGATATTAGATTCCAAGTATTACTGATATTGATTATATGCATCAGCAACCGAAAAATGTGTTTTGAGGATTAATGTTGAATAATGTTGAAATATTGATGTAAACACCAGAACCAGGAAGTGTCTGGTAGCTATACTTAACATATGAAGCAGTATCTACTACAGGCAATGTCATTAGAAGAGTAAATTCTATACCTCGCATGCTAGATACTACCAAAAGCTTGCATCAATTTCAAACTCACTTCAGAAGAAAAATGCATCTCAAGTCTCCTAAATGATTAAGTGCTCCGCCACAGGTTGGGCCAAGAAGTAAGGGAAAATAGGATACTAGGGTAACTATGGCAGGATATGACTCTTGGGGACACGCTATACCAATATAATGGTGCCTGTAGAAAGTTTTCCTTCTCCGCCCACTTCTCCAAATGCTTGAAAAGCTATGTCAGGATAATATATATCAGTTCTGCACTGGAAATTCATCAGTTGTTCCAGTCGACATTTGTGTTATAGTTTGGAAAGCCCCACACAGCCCATAATAGATAGTAAATAGAGAAAAAACCACGATAGCGAAGGGTCTCTCCCCTAGCAAGTTGCTCAGCTTTGTCCAGATGATAAGCATATCTGTAAATAGCTAATCCAGTATCAGACACTTACACGTGAAGATTGAAAAAGAAAATGATACATGCTGATATATCCCGAGAAAGAGGCAGATATAATCCGGTTATCCTGACCAAAACTATGCAAACGATTGGTGATAGGAGAAGGAGCAATGGTCAAGATGGAAATCTCCAAATTTGTTGGAAAAAGTACCATGCAGATACTAAAACAGATAGCTTGACAGGCAAGAAGCTAAGATCATGCATAACTGTAGCTTTGAGCTGCCATTTGGGGTAATTGGCACAGACATGACTTCAGTGACTTGATGCTGAATTGACAATGTGGTAGAAGACGTGACGTTACGATTGTGTTGATCCAGTATTCCTATAGTGAGCTGAGTAGCTTTCTACATCAGATTGAAAGGAAAACTTATGAGTAAATCAAGAGTGGATTTCGAGATCTTTTCCCAGTCATTTACCGCACAGCGGTAAATGCTGGCGATTAATAATTTGGCGAGATACTCTACACGTGGGGGGGGGAGGATTACGACGCAGTAGTACATGGCTGAAGTCGATTTGCAGTTCAAGTGCATAAATATTAGTATATTACTTTAATCAATGTGGTTATATCAGTCCTGAATTGAGTAAAATCAGTCTAAAGAGTTTCAGCAGAACGCTCTCGGGTTCAGGCGCGAGATTGAAGCCGAATATTATACAGATCAAGATTATGGAGCAGATGGGGTCAAAACCGAGCGAATATTAAAAACTGGAAGATGTTGTTGAAAGATCATAGTGAGTGGAGTAAAGTTTTGGGGTAAATATGAGCCAAGGGGAGACGTTCACAAGAATTAAAAAGCCATCATCTCTCGGCCAATCAAGTGATGATGACGCATCTATACCGAAAGAAGCTGGCAATCATTGAGTTACTTCAAAGATGAGGGGGAGCATTCAAAAGGCCAAGGAAGAGGGGTCGCCCAGCCGAATTCCGTCAGGGCGGGAAGATCGGCTGAGTTCGACTTGGCAATGGAGTTGGCAATTAGTGGCGCCAGTCATCGGACTGGTATCATGTCAAATACCAGTTTTGACTGCTTACTAACTATGTGATGATGTCGGTCTTCTAGTTGACTAGCCATACTAACTCTGACTTCGTGTGTAGAACAGGTGGGTAAAGCAGCCCCTCAGCAGCGAGGCTTTAGCTAGGGTTCTCACAGATCAGCTCATATCAGGAGGGCAGAAACATCGCAACTACCTATTTAATAGACCAAACCCATCTGCTCAAAATTGCCTCAAGATCTCTCTTGTGATAGTGAGCCAAAATTGAATAATAACCACTACTATCTAACTTGGTACTATCTATACTCCTACGAATTGCTCGAAGCTTTTACCAAATCGTACCGATGTCATCTTCCGGCGCAAAGTACACCGAACAGCAGAAGGCTGATCGCTCAGCCGTCACCGCAGCTCTAACTGATCCAAAGAACGCCCGGGTCATGCAGGATAAGGGCGATTCCTCGTTGAAGAAACGGACTACAAGCCAAGCTACTGTTTCTGATCGGAGTAAGAAGGCCACCAAGGCTGCTAAAGCTGCGAAGAAGGAGAAAAAGTGTTTGTGCCGATCAATTACGTGGTCGTCATTGGCTAATTTGGTGGTAGGAATGTGATGGCATGTGTCAGGATTCAATCTTCAGCTCGTATGTGATGCTTATGGACCTAATCGAACGACTGCTAATGTTGTAGTGGGAGTAATTTTTTTGGATGGACAGATAATGATGTATTTAGGAGCGAGTTAGGGTTATATGACGTTTTTCATGCTGGAATTGCGCAAATTAGCTATTTAGCCGTTGTTTGGTTATTCATGGGCTCGATCATCTGTCACACTTTTTATGCTGTGCTCTAATTCTCAATCTGAACTAGCTACTTTGGGTCTAGAACGTACACAACCGATGCTGACTAGTATCGTAACCTCATGCGATACTTTCCTACCTGATCCGCATTCTCGAAATACAGCTAAGCTAGCATGGACTACGATCTTATTATCGAACGATCTCGAGAATCAATTCTTCAAAACTGGATAGCTACTGTCCGCGATGAAGACGTGATACGTTTGGTAGCAAGATATCGGCCTGGCCAGCCGGAGTGTACTATTGAAAGTGTACTCGGAGGTAGCTTTAACGTGTGCTTCAAGATCGCATTCGCTGATGGACTCCGGTGGATTGTGCGTGTTCCTAAACCTGGGCGTGTCATGTTTATGGAAAAAAAGGTCCGTGACGAAGTAGCGGTAATAAAGTATATCAAATCAACCACCAGCATCCCCGTCCCAGATATCATAGCCTTCGGAACAGCAGATGACAACGTGGGAGGCTTCGGTCCATTTATGATTACCGAATTTATCTGTGGCGACAACCTCGGTGTCAAACTTTTCGATACCAACTCGAACCAGGATTTTGAAGAGAGCATCTATCGTCAGATCGCTGGCTTTCTTTTACAACTCTCAAAATGCAGATTCGACAAAATTGGATCCTTGTTTATGGATAGCAATGGATACCAGCCCACATGGTCTGTGAAAACAAAGCCGCTGACGTTGGCTATCAATGAGACTCTTAGGGGTGGATGTGTAAATCTTTATGGCATGTCTTCGAACATAACCTTTCCATACCAAGTGTCTAATTTGAAGATTGATCTCAGATAGCTCGGAGCCTTATGCATCGACGTCTGAATACTTCCAAAGAACTGCGGAGCAAAAGTTGGATCACGTACTTCAACAACAGAACTCGATCGACAATCGCGAAGACGCAATCAAGAAGTTGAATCGCCGCCGACTCTTTAAATCGATCACAGCAAAATTTGTTCACAGCGACTTGGACCATGGCCCTTTTACACTGGTATGCGACGACTTTCGTCCTGGTAACATGCTTGTTAGGGATGGAAAGATCGTCGCTGTGTTCGACTGGGAGTGGACTTATGCCGGACCGTTAGAGCTCTTACTGTCACCACCACGGTGGCTCTGCAAGGACTGGCCAGCAGTTTGGGATTTGAGTAAGCGTGCTGCATATGATACGAAGGTTAAGAAGTTTCTCGAAATCCTGCAGGAGGAAGAAATGAAGATTATCAAATCAGGCCCCGCAATAATGTCGAACTTGATGGAAGAATCCTGGAATCGTAGCGGAAAGTTCGAGTACCATCAGCTTCTTGGCGAAGTCTTCCTCTTCGATGAAGACTGGTTATGGGAACGAATTGAAGCGGACTATGCCAGCGAGGTGCACAGCCAGCCAGACGATACAAGTATTATTGATGGCAAGTTGGTGGACTTCGAAGGTTATTTGGCTATGAGTCGTCCTATGCGCATTTTTGACTACATAAGCTCGAAGTCTTTGGCTAAATGTTCGTACTGCTGGGCTTGTCTTCATCCAGGGTGGATGAATCACGATATACGCGACTGTGTCCAGGTCCCTCGTGATGACTCTACCGTATCTGTGATGGAAGCCGCAGCTGCATGCCGCTCTAAATTTGCTTATCCAGAGGGTTCAGATATCCACGTCGAATGCGGTGCCCCTCACTATCTTGGCTGTACCGACCGACTTTGCCTATATCAGTTGACTGCATATTCAGTATACGTTGCAGTGACTGGCAAGGCAAGGCATCTCCATGAAGAAGCTTGGGAAACTTTCTCCGAACATTACAATGTCGACATAACCAACATAAGGCCAGAAGAACTAATAAAAGTCATGGCTAGGCCTCATCAAGTAGCTTCAAGAACTGTGTCTGCCCTAGTATGGTTCATTGAGCTCATGCACGATGATGCTGAATCATCTTTCCAGTGGTATTCGCAATACGGTCTTTAATATTGGGTAATTTCGTAACCATGTGATCTTGAAATAAAACAAGGATACTCCTGCAAATAGAGAGTCCACATCTCTCATCGAGAAGTTCTTTTTGGAATTATCAGCCCGAAATTTCTGACATTAGCCTCAACATCTTTTCCACCATCTGGCATTACATTAGCTTCCGCAGACAGCCGGAAAGCTAGTCAAGGACTCTTGGTTTAGAAGATACGACAAAGATCTAATGGGTTTTATAAATGAAATTCTGAGTAGTTGTTTTACACTACTTAAAAGCTAGGAGTAGTCTAAGGAGAACTTGCGGAATTTACTAGTAGTGTGAAGTTCGGTCGAACATACCAGCATTCATAGATTTTGGAGGTGATTTCAAATAGGACTCATTTATAAATCAGATATGTACTGTTTTGTTCATATATCTGATTATCCTTTCAATCCTCGATGTGAATGCTGCTTCTCTTGACTGTACGTACTCCCATCATCAGATTGGACTATTGGGGTCAATATCCCCTTTTATACAATCATCCCAGCAAATGCCAAAGGACATACAGGCGCGGAGCTTCAGTGCCTGCATATCCACCTGCAGGATGGAGCCCAGTCTAGCTGAAGTAATGTATCTACCTAAAATTGCTAAGATTGCAATATAACTAGTAAGAAAGATGATACAATATTCATACACGGGCGCTGTAACTTTATATTTCATACTTGTCGTACTTGAGCCGGGGAATTGAGGAAATTCAAACCAGTGACTTGTGGGCGGCAAAGAACTTTGGCTTAACTTTGCCTTTGCCCTTTGAAACATTAGATCCAAGTCCATCCCACCATCTCGCACCACCATCAATGGAATTTCCAGATGCGCCAGAAACGGTAATGTCTTTTCCAGATATGGAGACAAGAGGTCCCTTCCACTCCGAGTAACCAAAGCTGTAGTTCTTTTAGAATTGTTCTGCAAAGAGCAAAAGACTCACGTCGTGTGTCCCTGGAAGATAACCTTGGTACCCGCATTGAGACCCGTTAAGTCTAGAGTGATACCAGCGGGCACCACAATGCTACTTAAGATGATAGTACTACAGGTAGTTTTTGAGGCCTTGGCATTAGCGGCGGACGTGAAAGTACAATCCGCGCGCTCGACCAGAGGTGCTATGTCCTAAGAAAATGAGCTGTTAATAATTGTCTTGGTGAATGCCAGTGGAGTTAGACAGCCTTACAGAACCTGAAGCACCAGCCACAAGAGTGGAGCCACCCAAGAGGGCGATGAGAGTTGAGAAATGGACTATTATTAGTGAGAAATGCGAGCAAGATCTGTTTGAGCAGATATAATTGGAGTGCGATGATTGATGAGTATCTGAGCGTGTGATGAAAGGTTGAGCAATGGGTATTCACCTCTTATAAGAAATTGAAGATTTGAAACCTGGAAGTTATCCCGTATTCACGGACGGTCACTAGTAATCATTGTCGAGTATCGCTAGACAATTGCCAGGTCCGATAATCATAGGGCTCTTACTGACGCCGAAGATTCTCCCCCTTTTACCGTTTAGCTGCTCAAGCCTCATAATCATTCCTGAAGCTCAATGCTAGATCGGTGTTTGCGTCAATGTGCGCCAGTAAAACGACAGCTAATGTAAAAGGCATAATAAGCACGCTAGTACATCAATTAGCACATATTTCATTTGAATTATTAAGGACATAGTACTAAAATATTGAAATTCAAGGCATTCCAGGAAATACAATAGGTATAGGCTCATATACGGAAGTTAGGCGATACTAACATCGTATTAGAGAACAAGCGAAATATCAATTCGATATAGTAAGGGGTATTTCATTCATTTAACTTTTGTGTGCTGTTACTCGTACCGAAAAAAGTTTACAAATCGTGGTGGATCCAACACGGGTGTTTGGGAAAACCTTAAAAAGGGGGGCCGGGTCTCGGAAATGCGGGCAACTACGAAGTGCCGTGCTTTCGAACTCTACAAGAGATTGCATGGAGTATCAATGCTGAAAGATTATGGGCTTCTCTACTTCACTTGGCACTCAGATTTATATGCTTTCCGGCTTCACGAACATAATTGAAATCTTTGAATAGAAGATCTTGGTATCTAGCTTCAATGCCGGACAATAAGCGAAATATGGGCTTGGCAGTGTCAACACCCGAGTATAAAGTATGATTTTCGGGATTAAGATTTACCTCAAATAAGCTTAAATACTATCGAGAAGAGTCCCACAATATTATTCACGTCGGCAGAAAGTCCAGAACACGAAATGCTAGCACGTGGCATAAGATGGTAAACTACAAAAGGAATATCCTGGTTCTAGCTCCCGGGCTGCGGACTTTCTGACTACACGAGCACCTTTACAAAATGATTTTGATCTAGCGGTTGCGCCTATTGCGATCTAGATGTAGAAGCTATCTGGAGAAGCTCTAGTATGCCGGGAGAGGAGGTTTTCTTTGGTCGGCATTACCGGTAAGCTTAGCATGGAGGCGCGCTGAGCCTAATACTACTTTGAAGCATCACAAATTAATAGGGCTAATGGCAAAATCTCGGTTCAGATTTCCTATCTAGACTCCTAGATATATGATCAAATCACAATACTATCAGCTGGCAACACATGAGGAGCCAAAGGAAGCTATGGAACTCGGTATAATGTAAGTGAATGAAGTATTGTATGAGAATCAATATCGATATGGTCTATCCCATTCGTCGATATGTCCCACCCGTCGATATCGACTAATAGGACTATCCCATTCGTCGATATCGTCGAATTGGATGACTATACCCGAATGGGACGTATACGCAAAAATCGAAATTTGATATCGACGAATAGGATAATCCCATTTAAAGAAGTGAATCCACATAAACTTCACCATTCGTCTTTCGTCTCTCATCTCACTACTTCAATATAAAGGCTCACGTTTTCTGTCTCCGTGCCCCTCAGACTTTTAGATTGCAGATCGTCAATCTATCCAATGCTGGGTTGAATATTTTCTTTGGGCGAAGACTTTTGATACCTGATACTACTTTTTGACTTTTCGCAGGCATTTGTATTTTGATGTCGAAGAATTGAACTTCTCATCTGAACACTGGATTATAAAGTGGAAGAGTGACAAGTGTCAATGATTTAACGACGGTAAAAAACTGATCACGTTGGTGTGAGTGTCGACAATCATGGTGAAGTGTGACAATAAGCCGACAAGAGTGAGATAATCTGGCAGGTATTTGATATCAGAGAATTAGATAATAGTAACTCAAGGCAGATCATTCCTGAATTCGAGTACCAACGAGGACCAGAGCCATAGTCGGGTTGTGGGCGATGCTGTTCTTGGGTGCATAGTAAAAACATGGTGATACCCGTGACTTATATAGAAGATCAATTGAAGATGTTGGAATCTATGCAGAGATAGGTACATGAGACCAACACATCTGACCAGTTGCAAATAGTCTAATACCCCCACTTCCATATATCATGAAATCGCACCATACACCCCTCAGATCAAGCCATGCCCCCGTCCTCATTTCTAAAAAGGTACCTTTTGCCTCCATAACTAACCAACGATATTGCCACTTCCCTAGCACCCTCCACCAAAACCGGCAATTCAATAATTCAGTCTATGAATAGACCCAATCATCCACACCAGACCGAACTTTCTTATCCGGCTAATCTAACAAGAGTTTCCCAAAAACGATGGTGATACCATGAATCTCAGATGTAGGACTGAGTCTTGAACCTTTCTATAGCTATATTCTTGTTTGTTATACATACTCCTACTTTATGCCATCTCAATTTAAACGAGGTTAGAACACTGAGGTTGTGAAAAGAAGTGGACAACGCTAATTATTTGATGATAACAATAATATCCTCTCAAAACGCTCGTTTAGATGATAACAGCAGTCACCTGTCTCAAGAAGGTAAGCTCTTGATTTTCTTTGGCCTCTGATATCACCTATGGGTGCCTGTCTCATTTGTGGTGTTCGAACAGTCTGCCCGACCAATTTAAGAATGTATTCAAGGATATCTCTGGAATTAAAGTTGTTTCTGGCTCCATACAGTTACATATATAGTAAATACTTTTAGAAATAGGTGGATACCAAGGTAACTGAGCACCTAAAAAGCTATTCCCACAGGAAACACTCAATAAACATCTGGAGGAATAATCAACTAAGTAGTGAGTGAATACATCCCTCCCTACAGTTCTCACTCCATGGTTATAAAGGTAGGCGCTCTAACTTCCTATCCGTGTAGCTTTGTAATTCGAGAATACTCTACAGAGGTAGAATTTTGGATATAGACCTCACCCATTCATGATCCCGTCATTTCATCTCTTTCTGCTCATTTTGTCTGATTAATTGCATTCCTTCTCATCTTGATAAATTGGATTACTCATCCGACAAGAACCATAATTCGGCAACAAAACCAATTCGCCTCGACAGCAATAAACGACAACAATAAACAACAGCAACATCAAATATCAACAAATCTCAACCAAAATATTCCACTTCCCATCCCTCTCCATCCTCTCCCGTTCTCCCTCAATCCCACAAAACCTATTCCTCAACCACAATCCTCGTTCCTCTTACAAATTCGTACCTATCCTCTAATTTCCCCATTAGTATGAATTATTCATGATTGCCTTTTCTTTGACCCAGAATAACTGACTCGCCAGCCCTTTTGTATACCAACAGAATGCTTGCGCCGAGCGAATCCATCCAGTGATTCCAACCTCTATTCATCCAATCTCTATTCTCCCAACCTCTCTCATCAATCAATATTTAAAATCCAAGACTACCAGAGTCTGGACAAATAAATTAGGAAGAGAAAACAGCACTGTTTAGGCTATGTGGTTTAATCGCCCGAAAAGCATTCCCCCCAAACCTCATGATCATTCATTCATGCCCTAAACAGAATTTATTCCGACTAAAATCTCCCTACACTCATCCTACTATAGCACATAAGCGACAATCAAAGCAAAAAAGACACTTACCATCAAAATGTCACGCAGTGACAATGCCAGAAAAATACAAGACTAATAAAATTCATATCGGTATATCAAAGATGGAATGCCAATCATTATAAAGCTAGCTCAACATGAATCAGACGACAACACAACACCGTGATCACAATCACAATATCATAACTCGAGTACTGCATCCCACCATCCATGAACCCATCTCACCACTTACGTATAGTATAGTATATCTCAAGTTAGACTCATACCAAGCTAATTTCCTTTCGGAGCCCACAGTATACTCGAGTGTAAGACTAAACACTTACCTTACATATCTACCTTTTCCAGGTTTAAAGGCGCCCAACATCAACATCAACCCAAAACAGTTCCCTCAACAACCGCCACTATATAACCAATCCAACAAGTCAACTCAACTATCTACACAACACTACACCGCATCACCTCACCTCCACCTCCACCTCCCATATAACATACTCTAGTCGTCCCCCAAAAAACCCCACGGATAAATCAAATTACTTGTCTTCTCATCCTCTCCACTTCCTACCCTAAACCTCAAGCTCAAGAGAAAAATGAACAACTAAATCAAGCAGCCACCAAATCAAACAGAGACTTATCTTACTTCCCTAATAATTCATAATTCCCACTCAGTGACAGCAGTAAAGATCATAAGATAGTGAGGTACCGCAGTAGCATGAAACACAACTCCTCCTTAACTTAACATTAGAAAGAAAACAACCAACTTATTCTATAAGGATTGTTATATTCGAGTATTGATGCAGATTAGAGTAGCACCTTCCAGGTAATGTACTGTAACTTCATTATTACTCTACATTACAACCCATCAATCATCAACCATAAACCATTTACCAAATTCTAAACCAATCCTCCATATATCCCCATCTCCCTCCCCTTCTCCCTCCACATCTCATCTCATCTCATCTCCCCAAGTCCTCACAAACTCCCCTGTAAACATGAACTTCAGCTTCAGCTCCAGTTCCAGCCTTCTACTCCAACCAACCAACCACTTTCACTTATTCCAAAATTTCAAAACCACATAAAGCCACCCCTTCCCTCTTCCTATCCCTTCCCCTATTCCTCTCTCCTCTCTCCTCTCTCCTCTCTCCTCTCTCCCCCAAGCTTCCAACGTCCCATTTCTAAACATACTCACCTTCTTTTCCCTTCCCTTCCCTTCCCTTCCCTCCCCTTTCCTTCCAAATAATAAAGCAATCAATCAATCAATCAATCAATCAATCAATCATTCATATCACATATTATGTGTTAATGTATACTATACCGTGACGCTATAGTATTGCATTTTTTGCATTTTTTGCTTCAGGTTTTCTGTTTCCAACTTCCTATTTCCAAGACTTATTACATATCCATTTCCATACTCAACAATTTAAAAGACTCAATCTTCCTTGTATCGAGTAAGGTTGTGATATTTACTCGAGTAAAGTAAAAGGAGTACTTGTCCATCCACAAGACCATCTACTTACATCATTCCATTCCATTCCATTCCATTCCGTTCACGAGATTTAATTGACCACTCGAATAAATGAAAAGCTCATGTAGTGTACATTGTATCTCTAGCAAATCTCAAATCTCAAGCGAAGCAAAATAACCCATCTTTTGAATATCTTACACAGGTATCGTATCTTTCCCACAGCCCCTTCTGAACCCATTATATTCCATTTGTAAAGCAAGTACCAGATATCCCCATATTTCTTCCCTTTTTCCAACTCCCCGCTCTTAGCTCAGCTTCGCCCAAGTCCTCCTATATTGATACAACCCATTTCTTTTTATGGAAAATTGTATTTCGTAGCAAAACCTGGCTTTGTGTTCTCGGTATTTTTGACTGGATGAAGTAACAAGGGAGGAAGACAAGGCCTGCCATGTAGCTTCTCCCACTGCGATACATTAGCACTTACACAAAATCTGGAGCAATATTCAAATTCAAACATACCTCCACTCCACCAATTCCATGATCCTCCCATCCCATCCAGTTGTTATACAGTCTAGCCGGCGGAATCGCTCGATAATACCATGTCATTCCCAGGAACCTTTTTTCTTTACCCCAACCAAATGGACTATCTGATGAACTTCCACTCTCTCCATGAGGTCCAGGGTTGAACCATTTATTCAATCTAGTACCATTCCATGCTCTATCAAAGAATATCGGAAGTGGTGCGTATACTGCCTTCAATCCATGAAGAAGGGCAACTGTTTGTGGTGTCATTTCGCTACTGACATGATTCCCTTTGAGGTTTTCGGTATGCATGGTATCTAGTAACTTCTTGCTGCACCTTGAATGAGTGATGATGGTTGTACGAAGAGGAGTATCATTCCGTCCATCATAACCCCATACGTCATTTCTGCCCACCCATCCAGTGCCGTTTGGGTTGAAAATTGGGGCAACAGATATATAATCTGCATCTTCACCCACGCCCCATTCGTAATTATCTTGTGCGGGATCTGGTACAGGTGGTAAGGGACCGGTTGACACTACATTGGCGACTTTCGGGGGTGCCCATATCGTATCTTTGCCCGAGGAATTTTCGACTGATTTGCGGAATTCGGTATCATAGGGGCCATGTACCGATGGAATGTAATATCTTTCATTTCTTTCCCAAAGGTACTTTCTAGGTTGATCAGCCCCAAACTTTGTGAGTCTTTCAAGAAGATCGTAATGATGGCCGGTATATCGAGTATCCATTTCCCAATTCCAATAGAAGTCAAATTGTGGATAATCCAGGGCGAAAATCTGAACAGGAAGCCACTGAGATTGATGTACATTGGTGACCTTCTTCGGAATGAGCGGATAAAGTCCTCGTACGTAGACTTCGTTCCAAAGCACTGCAATATCATGAAATTCCTTGGGGACATTTTCGTGAAGAGCTTTAATGTAATCAATGTCATTCTCTATGGCAATCGTACTATTTCTGATATGCACCAGCAGAAAGACCTCATATTCACCTCCAGACTTCAATGATAGCTCTGTAATGATAGACCGAACATTATGTTTGTCGTTTTCATTCCATTTCTTTCCAGAGTATGATCGAAGCATGATTGCTGTCCGTGATTTGTAGGGAGTGTTTGCATCGAGTGCTGCTTTGGCTGCTTCGATAAGGGTATCTTTCGACTCTCTCGTTTGGTGCTCATCTCGATTTGCAATGGTGCCCAGCACTCTTTTCTTAGTATTGGATTGTTTAGCTTCGGAGATGTTCGGAGCGTTCGAGGTGGGATTTGGAATCTCTTTACTGAGATCTGCTGGAGTTGCAGATATCAGGTATCGATTTATGTTTCTTTCCAGACATTGTGTCTGTAGCAGTCCCCAATTTATACCTTCCCATTGCATTTGTGTCTGCAAGCCGCGTTCGTCCTTAGGCGTTCCAGGAGGTAAAGTTGCACCGCTTAGGACCCCAACATCCTCTATATAGCCGTATGAGCCAAGTCGCGTCTCTCTCTCGAAGCATAAATTGTTATCAATAACAAAAAGCGAAAATGATCCCATCTGAGGTTCTTCGAAAGCCTTGGAATGTCCGGAAAACGCCAGAATCTCTCTGATTGGTCCATTGGCTCCATCGCATGGCACATATTTTCCCTTGTTTCTTAACTTCCAAGCTCCACTGTTATAGTCAGGGTACGGGCGGTACTCGAGTGGTTTGGATTGACCGTATGATTTCCAGATGTTTGTCTCCTTGAGAGCTAATGTGTGAGATTCGGTATGCGGACCTACTCCTACCACACCATTAAGCGTGTTTCCATAGATTTGACCTGCATTCGGTTCCCTAAAATAATTTAGCAGAAAATAAAATGGCAAATGCCGTTGTATACTCACTGCCCAAGTGCCAGATTTTCCTTCATGAATTCATCCTGAAGCGTTGATGTAGCAGTGGATGATGCTGCTGAAGATGATGTCGTTGTGGCCTTGGGAGTTTGTATTGACAAGTGGATAGTGACTCTGGTACTCAGTGCCGTAGATTCAGTAAGTGTCGTTTTTGTAGCTAGTGGTTGTGGAGAAGTAGAAATAGGGTCATCCTGTGGTTTTGGATGTTCAATAACCAGAGGATCGATGATGTGAATGGTAGGTACTTCCTCAGAACCTGGCGCTTTCACGACTTCTGTTTCCACTGACCCTTTATATTGCTCGACCACATGGCTCACAATCTTTTCGTGATTTCTCAACAACACCCAGAGGAAGAACAATACACCAACAGCGAAGAAGAGGCTACTTCTATACCGGAGAAGCATTTTTGTAATGAACGAAATGGGATGGAATGGAATGACTTTAACGAATGACTTGAAGAAATTATGAGAAATGAATGAATGAATGAAAGATTAAGAATTCATCTCTGATAAAATTTGAGAGCACTGGTAACTCCCTAGACTAGGTATTACTTTTTCTTTCCGTTTGCTTCAAGTATCTGATACATAATTCATATGGAAGGAACTCATTTCTCCTCTTGGGTGAGGTATAGCGTGACTTTCATTTAGGGTTACATAAGGCTTGTGGTCCGTGCATCATATCAACAAGTTCTTTTCTTTCTCTTTTTCTCTTTCCCATATCGACGGGTCACCACATTAATGTGAGTGACAATGTGAGTGACAATGTGATACCACCTTTTTTATCAAATCTGAATATGAAAGAGATAATTGGTTGATCATTTAATAATGATGTACACTCCGGTAGTCGATAATTCACGCACGGCGGCCTCGGCTTCGTACATATGTACTGTATCCTGACCAGAATCTGTGACAATCCCGGTTCAAGCGAAAAGGGTGTTGCAGCTCTTCTTGCAGCTCATCCCACTATCCACAGGTAGAACACTTTAGCCTTCTCTTTTTCTTGGCAAGTGCCTCGGCCGACTTTCACGCCGCTTCCATACGATGACTCCCGAGACTGTGCACTGTACTGTTACATACAAGAGTACTCATGCCGCCAGAAAGTTCGCAACTCGGGAACTAGGAAAAAAACCAGGATGTTCCTTCCGTTGTAAATCTACCCGAGTTGCGGACTTTCTAGCGGCATGAGTAGATGCAGATAAAATCTGTATCTTGGCGTAAGCAGAGGGGGAAGGTTGTCATGGTTGCAGATTGGATAAAAGTGGCAACGTCACCTGTGTTACACATGCAAGCCTATCAGAATTGTTCCTTATCGATCGATCCAGGGTGATAGGGAAAATCAAGTTGCGTCAATCATCATTCGCTCTACATGGAGGACCTCGGAAGCATCTTTCTGCGGAGTAAGTGTTCGGTGCTTGTATATCTATATAATACAACCAGTTGTTGATCTGATTTGATCTGATTTGATTTGATTCTCGGTGATATTTGCATTCATCTTTCAGTGAAAATGATTTTTTCCAATATCGACATCTATTCTGCCCTTAGTCTATTTGTTCTCACAGTGGTTACTTCTCTTGCTTATCGTATAATTTACAATTTGTACTTTCATCCTTTGGCAAAATTTCGTGGACCGTGGTATACAGCTTGCTTTTCTCTTCCTCTGGCAATAATATCGATAAATCGATACGAGCACCAGTGGCAGCGTGACCTACTAAAAAAGTATGGAAGTATGTTAACCTCTTAAAATTATGAAAAGAAGCCTTGGTGATTTAGCTAACGATCCTTAGGAGATGCCCCAATTCGTATTGCACCTGAGATGCTCCTGTTTTCAAGACCATCGGCATTGAAGGAAATATATTGGGACCGAAGTCTCAATAACAAGTCCTCATTTTATGGTACTGGTCTTTTTGGTCCACCGCATTTGTTCAGTACTCTTTCTGCTTCAGAGCATACACCTTTGAGAAAAGCACTAGGAGCTGCACCGGTAAGTTTTGTATCTATCATTCACGGAAATCAAGTGACCGTCCCTTTAATTCCACATTGTTCAAGACTCTAGGGAACTATAGCTGACTCAAAGACTAAAGTGGGCGGTTGGAGATTTACGACACGATTGGGAAGACAGGATCGATGATCAAATACTCCTATTTACTAAAGTAATGACCGAAAAGGCAAAAGCAGGAGAATCCGTTATTCTAAGTGATAAAGTAGCGTGAGTCGTTCATTCCTTCACATATCTAGATTGTTAACTGATCATGTGCAGAGAATTTGCCGCAGATATCATGACAACATTTTCTTTCAACCAGGCGTGGGGCTTCGTGAAAAATAGTCGGGATGAACGCAAGTTGCTCTACCACTGGAGAGAAAACCTAGATCTCCTCGGCTTCGCAGCAAGGTTCACCTTCTTCCGCAAACATATTCTCAATCTTCCGGGAATTGCTGCATGGATATTACCCAAGCCTAATAACCACAGCGGTATGGGATATTTGATGCATGAAGCAGACCGTGCTATTGAAACTCGCGAATATGAAATCTCACAGGGGTTATATCCCGAAAAGCCGGATTTTCTACAACAGTGAGTCGTCCCCCCTCCCCCTCATCCCGAAGCGAAAGTACATATCGCTAAATTCTACAGTTGCCTCGACGCCAGACTCCATGATCAACCACTCACCCCAATTCAGAAACGCGCCCATATAACCCTCCTTATACAAGCCGGTGCCGACACAACTGCCACAGCTCTGGGCGCCACTCTCCGCTTCCTAGCAACAACACCCGGCTGTTTTGCCAAAGCACTCAATCAAATTCGCGACGCCGAGAAGAAGAATCTTCTTTCAACACCAATTAAAGATGCGGAAACTCGTGCCCATCTTCCGTATTTAGTTGGTGCTGTGAAAGAAGGACTCCGGTTAAATCCCAGTGTGGCGAATTGGCTTCCGAGAGTAGTTCCTCCTGAGGGAAAGATCATTGCGGGGATTTTTGTTCCTGGAGGGATGGATGTTACGAGTAATGCTATGATTGTGCAGAGGGATCCGGTATTGTTGTTAGTATCCCATTTTACTTTATGGTGTTTTGGGTGGAATCTGTAGATGAGCTAACTCCAAATACAGTGGTCCGGATCCTGACACGTTCAGACCAGAACGTTGGATGGCGCAGGGTAAAGATGTGGAATTAGAACATGGCATGCTTGTTTTCGGAGTAGGACCGAGAGTTTGTTTGGGGAAAGATATTGCATGGATGGAAGCCTTTAAGTTGATTCCTGAGGTGAGTAATTTTTCTTCTTGCTTTCTTTTTCTTGTGGAATTCATTGGGAAACCTTTATGAAAGAGGGGAGTGAAGCAGGTGTTTAAAAAATGGGGTATCAGGCAGAATTCACGGCCAAAACGAAAGAGAAAATACTAACAAACGTCTCCAATCAAGATCATCCGAAATTTCGACATTGAAGTCTTGAACGAGGGAACATACGTTTGCGCAGGTGGAATATCGTATAATGAGAATTTTTTGGTGAATTTACATCCTCGAAGTGTGCTTTGATGGGCTTGGAATGGAATGGAATGGATCTCTGAGGCTTAGGGATTGGATTGAATTTGTGAGTAGTGTAGTGTAGTGTACCTAGTGTAGTGAAGTGTAGTTGAATTTCAATGTTTTGATGTATTTGTGCATGGTTTTTTATTTTTGTTTTTTATGAAGGTGGGTGGATGGATGAGGGTGGATGAGGATGGATGAGGGAGTGTATATTATATTTAGTTCTTGTGATATGATATGATATGATATGATATGATATGAGTTGAGCTGAGCTGAACTGATCTGAACAGAACAGAACAGAGTAGGGTTCGGGGGTCATTTGTACAGTAGTTTGAATCCTCAAGATTCAAGGAACTGGTACCGGTGTGTTTAGGCCTACTAGCTATCTGTATCTATATCTTGTATGGACTAAAGCCAGAGCCAAACTGGAACCAAAGTAGATAAATTAACATCAATAAATGCTAGTAAAGGGGATTATGCGCAGACATATATATGTGTGTGTGTGTGTGTGTGTGTGTGTGTGTGTGTGTGTGTGTGTGTGTGTGTGTAC